ACCGAAGTCTTTGACGAACTGTCTCTCGGACATTCGTTTGCTCTGTTTGTTGAATAGCTATCCTTTACCTTCTCCTTTCTTTCCTCCTTCTCTCTCTCACTCTTCCCTTCATCTCTCTTTATACAAATGACATTTACCTCTTTTCTTCCTTTACGTGTTCTTCATAAACTTCTTTATTGATTCTCAGACGGAATAATGTTTTTGTTCCCTAGTAAGTTTTTCTTTGATTCCTTTCTTCAAAATCTTTTTTAAATTTTCAAAACATATCATCAGCAACCGCTTTGCGCGTCTGTTCTTTCGAAAATGAATTTTTTGACGCTCAGCCTGCCACGTGGACTTCATTTGCATAAACTCATTGAGTTCAAGCTTCATACTTGAATTTCAGGCAATTTGAGACGAGGAATGATTCGATATGGTTTCCGTCGATACCTCTATATGATTTCAATAGTTTTATTATGCTTTTTAATAATACGATGGTTCTATCGACAGCCTACAACCTATCCGGATGGAGTTCAAGTAGGATACAAAGGAGAGGTTCGTATTCATTGTCATTTAAAAGTTTTTATAATTATAATCACTCGTATACTTTCTTCCAATCACTACCCCTCATCTATATCTTCCAAGCTTCTTTCATCTCTCCCAACGTCTTCCACACTCGTTGGGAAGGTCATTAAAACTTCTTTTTTGCAACTCTCCTCATTCTCACCTCTATTACTACGGATTAAAAGACGATTTTTTGAAATCAGCTGCCATGCTTCTGCAGAGTGCTGAGAAGATCATTTGAAAGAAGATTTGAATTGTTTAAACTGTTGTCTATTGATGACAAAAATGAGCTTCGTTCATAGAATATGCGTCATCATGCTTGTTCTGGTAAGGATTTTGTTTATAATGAAGAATCTTTGATTGTTCACCGACTACTAACAGATGTTAAGATGTGTTTTGAATAGTTTAAACGTAATTTGCTCTCATTTCTTAACATCTTCATAGTAATCATGCCCTCAGGCGTTGTAATATCAAACTATTCGTATATTCAAATCTTTCATAGAGGCTTTCTCATTATAATCAACGACCCCGATCAGTCAGCTGAACACTTTCTTATCGAACATCTTCTTCAACACAAAAGACGAACTTAAATATCTTTCATTTGAATCTCGTGCCTCAGGTCAAATCTCTTCGAAGCCTTGGGTCGACTTTTTTTATTTTTATTTTGTCACCGACAGTGTTACCTGTCTCACTTCATCTCTATCTCACCTTCCATATCGTTTTCTCCTTCTATAGTAACAGCTCTGCAACTCCAGAATGATGAGATTATGGCAAAGCATTGCGTTCTCTGCTTTCTTGCTTCATTTTGTGGAATGCGAAGATCCCTTCCAAATTCTTAAAAAGGACATTGAAGCCTTGAATTGTTTATTCTTTCGACGAAACTGTTCTAACCATCTGACTGACTTATCATCGGCTAGTCGACTGTTTGCTAAAGTAAGAAAAAATTTGAAAGAAGAAATCAAAATATCAAAGCTCTATCAAAACACTTTTCTCATCCCTTGTGAATTCAGATTATGAACCCAGTCAAGACAGAATCATCAAAGATGAATACGGTTAATCTAGAGATCTACATGGAGTCTCAATGTCCCGACACTTCTAGGTATACGATATGACGATCTTTGTTATTTCAGTTTATACTTGTAGGTTCATACATAAGCAATTGAATAAGGCGTGGGCAAGTCTAGGAGATACAGGAAGAATTGATATGACCATTATTCCATTCGGTAAAGCTCGTTGCATTGAGAAAGGAGATGACTTTGAGTATGAAGACTAGAGAGATATCCTGAGATGAAACATCCTTTGTAGATGTTCATGTCAGCATGGAGCCAACGAATGCATTTTGAATCAGCTAATGAACTGTGTCATCGACAGAATCGGTTTTCCGGATAAATATGTGCCGATTGTTGAATGTATCCAGGTAACTATCTCTCTCTCTCCTATCCGTCCAATGATTCAATGGAAACTTTAGGGCAAACAGAATTTAGACGTTGCTATGTCTCAGTGTATTAATAATAATCCAATTTTGAATGCCAAGCAGTACGTTCTATTCATTTCCAGCTCTCATTTTAATTTTATCTAATTTAAAGAATGCTCGAGTGTGCTAATGGCTCGCGTGGACGTCGATTATTAGCTTTAGCTGGATCTAAAACTGTCGGCTTGAAGCCAGCCATGACGTTCGTGCCATGGATAGTAATAGATGGCGAAAGGAATTCTGATGCTCTCTATGATTTAACTGAGAATTTATGTAAAAAGTTGGAGCCAGCTCCAGAAGCCTGCTCAATCTATGAGAACAAGACGAAGAAGTAATAGACACAACTCCATGGCTCAATCAAATGACCATATATGTATGTATATCATCATCATCTGAGCCGGTTTGGGAAAGCTTTCTTTAAAATCTCAGATTTTGTATAATTTTAATTAAAATTGACGGGTTTTTAGTCTTTTCAAGCACCTCGTCCTATGTGATTGCAAATAATTATTATTTAAACCAAATTTCAAAATGAACTTATATACAGAGAGAGGGAGAGAGAGAGAGGAAGAGAGAGTGAGAGAGAGAGAGAAAGAGAATAAGAGAGAAACGTATCAAAGAAGCAAGTGCCTTTCTAGTAATGCTCCAATAAGGGTTTTCATTGTTTGTTTAATAAAATACAAATTTCTAAATAAAATCTTATATGTGACTGTTCATTTGTGGCACCGAAGGCTGGAAATCGAAACGAAACTCAACGAAACAAACTGTTTTGGCTCCTTTTGTATCTGGCAGTCTAACTACGTTGCCTTATGACGTTGTTAAACTTGTCAGAATAATTTGTCAATTATTGAATTTTATAAAATTGAATTAAATTGGGAGTTTTATATTCGGAGAGTTATGTGGCCGAGTTTTTAGAAAACTACTCTCTTGTTTTCTTCATTTGTCACTTCAAAACATAAATTCGAATGCTTTTCATCGTTTCTCATACAGTGTTATGCCATCGTCATCCACACTTTTCCGTTTTTTATCCAAAATTTCAGAAGAAGGTTGGAAATAACAGGAGAAACCCAGAACGGCAAGATTGATTTGGTTTGTTTCTCATCTGAGTGTGTTTGAACAGTTCTCTTCTTCAGTTTCCGGCTAACACATCCGTGCCTGATCCTCCTATGGACAGGCACGGAAGTGGCTTCACAATTCTATTATCTATCAAAATAGCTCAATGTTTTCTTGCATTGGTCCTTTTCATTTCTTTTGTTCTCTTCGCTCATCTTCTATTCTCTACCCCTGTAAGTTGGAAGAAGCAATCATGGATATCTTATGTTGATAGGTTTATCATCGTAACCTATCTCTTCTCCTCGTTTCAATTGTTCTCCAACATGTCATGACTGTAACACCTTATGCATATTTGGATATTCAATGGACGTTAGGATTGGAAAATAAAGTGCTCGATGAGATTTTCTTATTCATTCACAACACAGGTAAAGAAAGATAATCAGATTGTTCCTCGTAACATCGTCCACCTCTACAGGATCTTACTTGATCGTCTTCAACGTCCCTATCATTGTTATGGAACGTTTATATTCCTTTATTTATGTTGATAAATATGAACATATGAATGCTACTGTTCCCTGGCTCTCTGTTGTCCTCATAACTGTCCAAGTATCTGCACGTCATTACAGCAAGACTACTAAGTGCGTTTTAGGTCTTTTTTGCTTGTTCATTCCAAGTGATTACCATATTGGAGATCTTCTCACCCATAGTCGTTTTCTCGCTATCATTTGGATCTTTCGTTCTCGGTAATCTGGTGAGTGATCGAAATAATTTTTATACCAAACAGAAAGTTGTAAAAGGTTGTTTATTTGATTAATCTGAAAATATCATAAAGATTAATTGGAATGCAACCGCCCACCACGCTCAATCATTTCAAAATGAAATATCACGTGCACTAATTATTCTAATTACCCTTGCGCATTAGCATATATCATGTGTTTACAGTTTTTTGCGCTAATTCCCATCTTCGCCAAGAAAGCTTTCATGGATATAAGAAAGGATGGTGGATCTATATCTGTATGAGTTGAAAAAAAACTTCGTTGATGCTCCCTAATCATTTCAGAAGAGATATCAATCCGTTGAGAACCTGAAGGCATCCAAGATGTTAATGAGATTATCACTTTTCATCATTTTTTCTTCTGTTGTTGAATATGTTTTTATGTTTGTCACTGTTTTCATATTCGATGCTGACGATAATGCTATATCAAGTTCGATTCTTATCCTTATATGGGAATGTGACGTATGACATTGCTATCTTGACCATCATTCAATACTACTTTCAGTTTCATATAACTATCGCAATCGTTATACACTCACATCGGTCATTGAAGCAAAAGTTTCATGGATATTTGCCTGTGTGTTGCAACAGATTCTTCCGACCATCTAAGATATCTACCGTCGTCAAGTCTACAGATGGGAAGCAGCTCGTCTTCAACGTTGAAGATCACAAGCAACTCTATTTCAAAGCCTATGAAACCATGTGGAAATGAAAAGAATAAATCAATATAGTCCATAAAGTCACGAAAGAATTCTATTTACGATAGCCGGATGAATAAAACTAATAAGTGATTTGAAAATATTTTTGGATAGCTTTACCCTCTTATGCTATCATAGTCAGAGACCAAAGTTCATTTAACTACATCCATAGCGGATAATCGTGTAATCGATCCAATTTTAGATTTTTTTTGAAAAACAAAGTTTTCAATTCAAAATCTTCACGTATTCACGTTTTCATTTCCAAATATAAGATTTGATTAGTACTATTGAGAAAAATAAGATGGTATCTACATAGTACATCCTGAATACATGCATATAGGTTGCCCGCTTTCTATTTGGGCGCTCTGATGCCAAGGCGCGAAACCCGTTCTTCAAGCTTGACCATTCAGTTAGTCGAAGTAAGCTTTTTCTAATTCGGCTTGAATGTTTGTTTTTCTCCACAATGTCAAATAAGCTCACCTCCGTGTCTGATTGTTGGGTAAGTGTAGCGAATGAATTTCTTGCGAACTGAAATTATAGGACGATTTGACGCTTGACACCTCGAGGGTCATTCCACAGTATGAAGAAGAAGCTACGGAAATAGTTCAAGAGGAGTTTGAGAAAATCCAGGATGAGTACGATGCTACGATTCTTAGAGATGCTAAGGTTTGGTATATCAACAAACCGTGAACATGTTAATTCAGAAAGCCTTTGCTGCCGATCTGCGTTCGTACAAAGGCCTTATAGTTCGTTACAAGACTTATGATAACTCAGAACCTCAAGTTCGCAATTTTTCTCCTCTTAAGAAACGAATTCACTTCCACTCCACCCCAGGCCTACCTCGAATGCGTTACTTTGTTCATACTGAAAACAACTTTGAGGTTAGATGACTTATAAGGAGGTGCTCATTCAACGTTTCCAGTGCGCAGACAGTTTCCGTCTATCTCATATTCCCCATATTGACGACGAGCTAGATGATCGGCAGTTTGTTAAAGAACTTCGTCAATGCTATACCGAGGTAAGTAATACTTTTTCCTATCCGCTTATATGGTGTGTAGGGTATTCATGGTGCTGATCTGGGTTGTGGGGAGTACATAAACGATTACATGATGTATAAGTTACTCTTGGCCGTTATGAACGAGTGGGATCGAGGTGAGCTGAGTTGAGATATCTTCATACAAACGTATGAGTTTTAGAAAAATCATATATTCATGCTGCCATCTTCAAAATGTTTCCTAATAAGTACTCTTTCAAAGAGCTTGAAGAGAACATGTAAGTCGCATTGTTTGTTTGTTTTTTACTTTTTCCTTTGAAGTTTTTTAACATTGAAAGAGAGGTTCAACCCTTCCACTTCTGTCGTTCCTGCTGAAACGAATAAAATTGATAATAACGTTCAATGTCTCAATCATATGTTGTGTGCCAAATGCTTGGAATACGATTGTATCCGGCATATTTCTTCGGACAGTGTTGTGAGTCCCATCAAATCTACCAAAACTCCTGTCCCAATCGGTAACATGATAACCCCCGTTGAACCTTGTGGTGAACATTGCTATCTCCTTTCTCAGGTATTCATACATACTCACGTCTTCTTTCATTCTTTTTCTTTAAGTATCCAACTGAAATGTTCGAACCAGAGAGTGAAATGGTGGTCATCACCTTGAAAGCCATGATAGCCGCCAAGAACTTTGAAGTTTGTAAAGTTGCTAAAGTTTTGAACACCTTATACATGGAGTTCGACGAAAAACCAGTCAAATGTGAACAGGTGAGGGTTTCCTACTTATCTTCACTCATGTTTCTTACAGTGGTATCATTTGATTGAAGCTTTCATGGCAGAAACTGATAAAATCGGAGACCTCAAGCAAAAACGTAAGAAAGCTAAGAAGAAGTTGTAAGTTGCACGAAAACTAATAAGAAACAACATCTGAGCTTTCCAGGAGTCAACGTGAGAGATATAGAATTTTCTGTCGTTATCGTTCTAAAGTAAGACTTCTGTGTATTAGCCTACTATATAGATTTCCTTTCAGTTGGATAACAGCCAAAAGATGAGCCCTTGTAAGCATGAGGGTCCTTGTCATCTGAGTAAAGATTGTGAATGTAATGTTTCAAATTTAATTTGTACAAAGTATTGTGGGTGAGTGGACGCTTATGAGATATATGACACTCATACATGCGCTTACAGTTGTGATGAAACTTGTGTGATAAAGTTTCCCGGATGCTCGTGCGGAGCTGGTTCCTGCTCGACTCAAACATGTCCCTGTTTTCTGGGAAAATGGGAGTGTGATCCGGATATGTGTAAAAGCTGTAACTGTGATATTCTGAACATCAAAACTCGTGCAGGTTTGTGGTTTCCCAATTACTGTACAACTAGATTAGAAGAGATAAACGAAGATTATTAATGATTCCCTTCCTTATAGATGGTTCTGAGCTCCCTGTTTGTAAAAATATCAGTTTACAAGTTGGGCTGAAGAAAGATATTGATGTAAGATTACGAGGCTTCTCCCGTTTTTTAAGATTTTCATTATAGATTGGCTTATCACATATTGCGGGTTGGGGATGTTTCATACAATGCGAAGCCCAGAAGGTCAGTTATCAAGATCAACGAGACTGGTTTTTTATGGTCTTTTTTGAGGGCGAATTAATATCAGAATACACTGGAGAAATAATAAGCAGTGATGAAGCTGAAAGACGTGGTCGCATTTACGATAAGAAAAAATGCAGCTATGTTTTCAGTAAGAATGAAATTAGCTTCGAGTCAAAACGATATCCTTACAGGACTTAATACTGAGCAATCTGTTGATGCGGGTCGAGTCGGTAATATAATCCGATTCGCTAATCATTCGGACATTGATCCTAACTGCGAATCTCAAGTATCATTTCCATATAAGGTTCTCCTATCATGTTCCTATTCCAGATAATGATGGTTAATGGAGATCAAAGGATTGGCATATATGCCAAACGTCGTATTGAAGACGGAGAAGAATTATTCTTTAATTACGGTTATAAAGGAAAGAATAAGGAATACGTCTCGGTCAGACTCGAAAAGTATGTTACATATCTTGCTCTTTACCTCGACAATCCTCTTGGTGTTTCAGATTGAGAAAAAAGAAATAATTTTTAACTAAATGCCACGTCTTACCCGTCCTTCGAACTAACTTTTAAACATAATTTTATATAAAATAAAATTTGAAATGAATCAATGATCATGTTCTGTTGTGGGAGGGAGTGGGAGGGGGGCACAAAACATCTTGGGGGGGGGGGGGAGGGGAGTGTATACGTCGTTTACCTTTCTCTGTTCGAAAAGTGTTAGTAGAACTCCGGAACGTGCTCCAAAACAGAGTGTGGCAATGACAGAAGCCTTGACATGTACTTCTTTCTGAAGCTATCCTGATGAAAATTACATTTTTTTGTGAAAATGCAGATGATCTCCAGGCTAGATGTTCTTATTAGGAAAGATGGTTAAGTCGTTGGCATTGTGAATTCGGAAATACATCGAAAGTCTAATCAAGGAAGTATTGGTAACTTCCGCTGTTTCCTTTTATGTCTGTGTTTATGATCCTCTATATGCTTAATGATGAAGACTACATTGCCATATTAGGTTCGGAATGAAGAAGATATTTTTTATTGGAAAATTTTTATTAGACGAATGACTATCACATCAAAGGGCGATGAGTTCCGAGAAAAGTGAATCTGAAGAGTAAGTGAGATCGTATGACCGATTCATGCATGAACTGAATGACTTTCTATTTTAGTCGAATGTCATTGAAGTTTCAAATATTGAAATGATCATAAATTGTTTCCTTTTGAGGAATATTGGGATATAGAGAGGTGCTGGCAAGCTAGATGGAGGAAGAACCACGTGCTGCAGAGTCTCTGTGAGGAACTACAAATCTCTTGAATGTGAACTAACTATGTTGTGGACATAAGTGCATAATTGGTTTAGATAATGTTCAAACAAATACTTTAAAATGAACTTGAGCTAATTTTTCAATAAAAACTTTGAAAACATTCTATAAAAGAAAAATAAAGTTGGTGATGCTTTGAAATGTACTCAGAGATGAGAGATGGGTTAGGACATACAACCGTTCGGCGCGTTTCAACATCTACAAATGAATTTTGACGTTTGTTCAATTGCTCACGTGAAGTTCACGTGAAGTTCACGTATCCCAATTAGAATAGCAAATGATGAAATAAAGGTTGAAAATAACAAAGTTTATTGGACGAGTTAAATATACGACAATTTTTCTAAGGAATTTTCCATGTTATGGTTGAATTTGTAAAATTATGACTTTAGAAGGAAAAAAAAAAGGTTAAGCATATGACTCGTTTTTACAACAACAACAGCTGTTGCTCTCATGAATTTTAAAGATGAATCAGATGCTTGGATTCGTCTTCTTCTCTCAACTGTTCATTCCAAAAATAAAAGAATATGAAGTTGATTGCATTGTTTTTGGCTGGGCTCATACACAGAGATAACAGATTCAATGAGAATCTATGTCAACGCACACATTTGAAGGATTTTGCATTACATGAACTGAATTCTTGTTTGGATTTTTATAAAGCCGATCATAATATGCATTATATATTATCTTCTAATCAGCTATTCGTAGTCCCTGCCGTTGTCAGAACGTCCAAACCGAATGAAGCTCGGCTGAGCTCGGCCAAAGCGTATGAAGGATGGACCACCACGTTTACCAAATCGTATGAATGTCGGCTTCCCATTAGATGCAGATCTGCAAGTTCATTTAGTCATTTCATCGACTATGCATGTCAGTGACAAAGCTTAGATAGTTTGTCACAGAATTTTTTTGTCATCAGCATACGATGGCAAAGCATCTCGAACCTTAAGTGACGGAATAAGCCAGCATCCTCTTCTGCTTCCTCTGGGAGTACCTGAGACATGGCCTCGTACATTTCGCGCTGTTTCTGCAATTCAAATTAAAATGAGTTTAGAAGTTATGAAGCTTGTCAGACATAAAGCCTAATTTACAACTTTGTCCAAATGAAAACAAAGAGCCTGCTTTATGTGGACATTTTAATACAACAATTTGTGTTTAATTTAGTATTGCAGGCGGATAGAGGCAATACAAGACGAACAAGAGAGCGATTGGGAGACGTAAAAGATAATAAATAAGAATGAAGGGGAAATTTTTTTTAACTTGGAAGCCTCTTTGTTTTATGGTTGGATAAAGGTCTAACCTGTAAAGTTTTTGGTTCAGCTGCTGGCGCTGCAGCCACAAGAGCCAATAGGCAGAGGGAAAAGATGAAAATGGTACGAAGCATATTATCAGTTGTTACCTGCAATCATATAATGTGTACGAGGAAGCATATAACATATCAATAGAAACATGACGATATGAAAAAGCTGAGTTAGATGAGGAGAAAGATATGATGAGCTGAGGAGGATGGACAAGATGTCAAATGGCCGAACTCATAACCTATTCAAATACATTTCAATATCGACTTGATTTTATTGAGAATCCTCGATTGTTCGACGTCAGAATAACAAATAAATTGAAAATTAAATAATTTACAGAAAAGGAAAGCTTCTCAACTGAGACAAAACCATCTGGAGACATTGTATGCTGTGATGAGGAGCTTTGTGTTCGAAGCATGTTTTTGAGTAAAACGTAATGATGATCATATGAATGAGAAAATAGCATTAAGCTGTAAGTTCATTCAAACAAAATTCTATTCCGAACTAGAATATCTGTGAAACAATCCTCTCGTCACCCTCACTCGTCTCTACGTCGTTGTCAACGTCGACAAAGAAAACAATTCTAAAAACTCTTTTTTGCTCGTCTTCACCATAGACTCAAGTCCGTTTTCACATAATGCTTTGGTTTCAAAGACATTTTCATTAATAAATTTGGTGAATTAAGTGGGAAGAAAAAAGTTTTTTTTGGCCCTTCAACACGACGATGATAAATGGAAGTGTCGTTTCAGAAGTTGACACGTATTCGACAAAACCTTTCTTATAATTCAAGAATGGCACCCCCACAGAACTCAAAAAATCAACAAAGCGTAACAGATTTAAGTATCGAACTACGTAAAGGTATTATAAGCTTACAACCTTGAAGCATAAGCCTGTAACGTAGACAGCATAAGCGAGAGAGAAACTAGAATGAAAGGATTTTGAAGATTTTTGAGATTTTCGAATGTTTTGTTTTGTTTCAGGAGCAGCCTAATAGAGAATGAAGAAATTGATCTTAACAATAAGAAAAGAAAAAACAAAATAACAATGGTGAATGTAAAACAAAATATTTTTCTTTTAAATGTTATTAATAGGATTTGCATGTTAGATAATAGGTTGATGAGCATATTCATTCTTCCATCTGTTTCCGTGATTAAGCTGGGTACATAATGACGAAACAGGGAAGCAATAGACGAATCTCATTCCTACAGTATGCAAAACTGTCAAATTGGCTTTGGGGAAGAGTAGAGGAATCAAGTGCTTAAACAGCTACGAATTCTCTTTTATGGCAAAGATGAATATGGAAAATGGAGATAAAGCTCCGCCTCTAATGGAGCTTTCCTTTTGGGGGGCTTATTCTTTGAGACAAGATAGGGCGGAGCTTGAGTTACATTAAAGCCGTGAAAACGGTAAGTAAAATTCATAATTACATGTATGTGTATGTGTGTTTGTGACGTCAAAACAATTAGAAGGCAAAAAAAGGAGATGTGTTGACATGTCAAAGACGCAATGGAAAGGTGGACGTGTAAGTAGGGGATGTTTGATTCGTTTGAAAACTCGGATGCCATTGAGAAACCTTAAACAAGGGGGGGGGAGGCAGAAGGAAAGCAAAATCAAAAATAAGCCTATAAATAGTGGGAAAGAAGATGGAGAGCGAGGAAAATGGGGAAAAACCTCATCAAAGGCATGTTGGAAACATTAAAGTAAACATGAAGCTGTAAGTAATCTTCTGCTTTCAAAAATCGACTTCGTTACAAAACATTCTTCTGCAGTAGGTATTCAGGTGGTCATTACCCTTTATAATTACTTTTTTTGCTCCTTTCTCGCTCTTTATAATGATTTTAGCCATTTATGAAAAATAAAGGATAGAGGAGATGATGCTTAGAACGAACATTAGAAATTCCATTATAGTGGTCAGAGGAAACAGACAACATAATTGAAATGGAAAAGAGTTATAGGGGTGGAGATGTTTGGATAACTCATAGAACAACCGACCGTCACGTCCACATCTATATCAAATGAAATGTCATCATTCGACAGTTCACGTGAAAAACGTGAACATTTGACGTACGCATATGAGCACGTGGAGAACATATGTTAATAAGCATGTGCTATATTGATTGCATAAAAAGGCAAAAAGCTTTCACAAAAATGCAAAGAAAATATTAATTTCTGAGTATTCAGCTGTGGAGTTTGATACTGCACTTGGGTATTTCCTTAACAATTTTTTTTGAAAAAAAAGTTGAGAAAGAAAGAAAGAGAGATAGAGATAGAGAGAGAGAGTTAGAAAGAGGGAAATGAGCTGAGTAGTATGAAGAGAGAGAATGAATTGTGTTCGAACTCTGAAACTTTGAAATTCTGTAAATTTCCAAGTTCATTCGATTCATTTGAGACTGCTGATTTATTTGAACGTTGAATATGATGTAAGAAGGAGTAAGAAAGCGACAGAGAAAGAGGGAAGGAAAACATCTCATGAGGATGATAGATTAAAGCCGTTTTTGTTGTTTTACCTCTCTAATGATATTCACAATCGTGAATGATAGAAACTCACGGCACTACTTCCATATATGAGCATATCAGCCAGGCTGGCTGACTGGCTGCAGACTCTTTCGGATATTTGTTGTTGTAGGATGAATAGAAATTATTGTGAGAACCGTTTTGTATTTAAACAAAAAAGAGAAAAGTTTTTTTTATTTAAAAAGAAAAGAGAAATTGAATTTCTCTGAATCACAATCTGTCAGTTGCAAGTAAGAGAACTGCTGAGGTAGGAGAGACTGAATGCAACGGCGATAGATGAGAAAAGGGACTGAAGACAGAACGACCGTCGCCAGAGTAGAAGCCTAACTTAATAAGCCGTAATAAATGTTTTTTCAGTTGGTCTCTTCTACTATTCCAGAGTTCAAGTATTAATTTATATGATATAATAAAGGTTATTATATAATATTTTTATTTATTTTTATAGTTCTGGCTAAGGGTTCACAGAGGGATGAGGGGGGAATAGAGAAGCAAGGACACAGTCAGAAGGTCCTCTCCATTTTTGGACATTTTTATGTTTTTCATGGAATAGATCTGAAACACATATTCTTTGACGTTCATCTTCACTATTTTAACGAATCTTTTTCATAAACTTTTTTCATCATTTTTTCGAAACATGAATTGCCATATTTGAACTTTGAAGCTCAAACTGAGGAGTTGAATGAAAAACAAACCATTTCATTGGTCGAGAATGAAAGAACTTGACTTCAGTCATCTTATTATTAAAACCCCTTCTAACCCCTATCTCTCTCTATCCACCAACATCTTATTCTCTTTCTCTCTCTCTCTCACCACCCTCTCCCCCTTTCTCTCTCTAAACCAACAGGAAATATGATTTTCAACCTGAAATAGCAGACACACTTCTTCAATCCATTTGTTGACGAAAAAAAAATTTTTTTTCTCCGAAAATTGCCAGTCCATTTATGGCATATAAAGTTAATTAATGGCAATTTAGTCAACTAATTTGGCCTGAAACTCAATGAGACGGAGCTGCTTTCATTTTCATTTTTTTCGTTCAGACAGTAGAAAGGATGATGACGATGATGAAGATGATAATGAGGATGATGCTCCAATAGAGAAATCAGTCTGCAAGGTCATCTCATCTATGGACAGACGATAGCAAAGCTGGGAAAATAAATTTTGTTAAGTGAATAATCTGAGATTGTACTTATCACGAAAGTTGTTCTAATTCTCAGGATTAACACATTCCATTATCCCAAAACATTCAAAAGATTGAAATTCAAAATATTTTTGAGAAAAAAACACTGAAAAATTGAAAATATTCACCTTGAGCTTCGATTGTTTCCGGTAACAGTAGTAGAGTCGCTGTTTATGGCCGTCATCATCGAAGCCGATCATGATTGTGCCAATGAAACTCACATGAGGTTGTTTCTTGCAAAATGTAACTTTTCAATTTTGAAAGAAAAGAAAACTTTTCTTTCTCTCTTTCATTCACCAGCACAACAGGAACCTTTGGATTGAGGGCAGAGGGGGGAGAGCTAGACACTACATGCTCATATTGTACATATCAGTGTTCAGCGGATTCCCTGAAGAATCTGCTTAATCCTCTGTGCTCATACAGTTTCACAAATATACAAAGCTGATAAGACGATTTTATTGTTTTGTACTTTATAATACATGACATATGGTGAATAACTGTTGAAACTAGTTCTTAAGCTAAGAACGATGGCTAAAACAAACAGAAAAAAACAAAAAAGGAGACAAGGATTTTCATTTTCTTTTTCATACAACACCCGCTTCGGAAATATTTGGTTCTTTTCTATACAAATGCTTCTCAAGTTGAGAGATCTTGTTTCTTTATCAACTCGTAGTATTTACCCTTCTTAGCAATTAACTGTTGATGGGTTCCAGCTTCTCGTACTTTTCCTCGATCGATGTATACGATGAGATCGGCATTTTGAATGGATGACAATCTGTGAGCAATTGTCACACAAGTTCTTCCTTCTCTTGCACGATCTAAGGCTTCTTGTACAGCCTATAATTTTAAATTCGTTAATCATATTGCTTCATCAAACACTTACTCTCTCTGATTTGGAATCTAAAGCTGATGTAGCTTCATCAAGAAGCAACACCTTAGGGTCTCGAACTAAAGCTCTAGCAATAGCAACGCGTTGCTTCTGACCTCCAGACAGTTGAGATCCTTTCTCTCCAACCTTTAATGATATATACTTAGAATACTGGAATACTCGTATACTGCTTACCTCTGTCTCGATACCCTGAGGCAAGTTTCCAAGGAAACTCTTACAATTTGATAACTCCAAAGCTTGATCGATTTTTTCCATTGGAACTTCGCCTAAACCGAAGCAAATGTTCTCTTTGATCGTTCCAGCGAACAATCGAGGCTCTTGTCCGACCAATGCTACTTGAGTACGTAAATGGTCAAGGCATAAGGTTTTAATGTCTTTTCCATCAAATCGCTATAATTAATCAGATGAACTATCTGTTAGTTATATGCTTGTTTACCAAGCTTCCTCCTGTTGTATCATAGAAACGCTCCAGCATTGAAATACATGTTGATTTACCACTTCCACTAGGACCAACCAAGGCAACTGTTTGACCACGATTGGCTGAGAAATGTAGTCCTCTCATGATTGGCTGGTGAGGACGTTGTGGGTATGAGAAATTGACATTGTCGAATAGAATGTTTCCACGAATAGTCTAAACAGAGACATAGAAGACATATGAAGAATGAAATGATATACCATCTTCTCTCCAGCTGAAGAGTCTCCAGTCTTTGGTTTTCGTTCAATCATACTGAAAAGTAATCCGGCGGCTGTCTTAGCCTTTACGAACTCAGGGAAGTATGGCGCTGAATTCATGATGGCTACTCCTCCAAGAAGCATAGCGATAATACATCTGTAATAGAGATTAGTTATGAAACAATATATGTTATGGTTTCTCACCTGAAGACTGCATCCGGTGATTTGTCTCCTTTGTAGATGATATGAGTACCGAGAGCATAACATGCAGTTACAATCAGATATGTAAACGTTTGAGAAACTGTATAGTTTATAGCTTCATAATATCCTGAACGAGCTTCTTTTGATTTTTGGTATTTGCTGGCTTCCTCGTATTTCGTGTAGAAATGCTTCATACGAGTCAACAATTGAATTGTTTTAACGTTCTCAATCGTTTCGATAGCTATCTGCAAAATAATTTAATATGAGCGAATTAGTTTTCATAAGTTATTCTTACACGTCCAGCTTCATCGTTCCGAATGAGCTCCATATTAGTGTCCATAATGATTTTTGCTAATGTGATCATAGTAATTGCCAGTAGAGCGTCCATTCCTGTTCCCACAATTGCTACCTGCCAACAATATCCAAAACCGATGCCAATACAACAAGCAACGGCTGTGAGAGCATAGATAACTTGTAAGGCACGAGCATCGATGACCTGCATTGAAAATAATTAATTTTCACTAGATATAGGAATAAGCATACAGCTTTGGTGTTGGGAGCATCAGAGGCGAGACGTGTGATGAGCTTTCCAGGCGAATGTTGAGGATTATCATAGAACGACGCATCTTGGTATAGAAGGTTTTGGAAAGCGCGGATACGGAATTTCATGACCAATTCTTCTGAGACAATACTGAAGAAAATCGACTGAAAGGTAAAAATTGAGCTTGAAAATTCTTTTTCGCATATCCTTACACTCAAGAGTTGGAAAATGAAAACTCCAAAACCAATGGAAGCGAATATGATGATAGCCATAGCTAATCTATGCATCATTTTCCCTGTGTCGGGTAAGTAAGTGAAAGCTTCAAATACATATCCGAATGTCATAGCCAAAGCTGGGAGTTCTAAGCCACGGATAACTGCACAAACGAATCCCAAGAACATGTACAGATAGTTTCCTTGGGCGTTGCTGTAGATATCTAGGAATCCAGCAGTTACTTTGGTGTCCTTAAAGTAATGGTCAGTGTGTTGATTGTTGAATCTATTAGTAACCTCTTCCATAACTCTTGCAACTTCGGCAGCGAAAGCCTCGTTCTGAGTATCAGTAGGACCTCCAGTGGAGACTCTGCTGAATGAGTCATTGTAAGATGAACCACGCATGAAAGCCTCTGCTCCAGATCTTAAAATAAGTTTTACATTGAGAAAATGTGAACAAAGCGTTTTCACCTTTTGGATTCACGTATTGTTGATGATCTTCGAGAAAATTGCGAAACATTATCCGGCTCACTGAAAAAATGAAGTTAGACACGACGTTAGAGATAGCGAGAGTGCACAACCACACGTGGCGAACGTAAGAGACAAAAAAACCCGTGAGAACCGTGACGCGTAAATTTTCCGTGGACCCCACGGGTTATCGATTGAAAGAGTAATGACACTTACTCGACTGGAACTTCATCGTATTTACTGTCATCGAACTGATCGGCCTCCGTATCATCGTGTTCTGGAATGAATTGCTGAGCCTTGACCAGTTCGTAATATCTAAAAGAATAGGACTGTAATCAGGTATGATCAGTGATCATTTACCTTCCACCAAGAGCAACAAGTTGCTCGTGGTTTCCCATTTCAGCGATGTTTCCCTTTTCAAATACAACAATCTTGTCGGCATCGCGGATAGTAGACAAACGATGAGCAATAACAATGGTGGTTCGTCCTTTGGCAGCATTGTTCAAAGCAGATTGTACAATTGATTCACTTTGTGCGTCCAAGGCTGATGTGGCTTCATCAAGAAGTAATACTTTAGGATCACGAGCTAAGGTTCTGGCAATAGCAACACGCTGTTTCTGACCTCCAGAGAGTTGAACACCTCCGTCACCGATTAAAGTATCATAACCATTTGGTAGTTTAGTAATGAAATCGTGAGCATTAGCCATCTTACAGACATGGACCATTTGGTCACGTGAGATTTCAGGCATACCCATTTTCAGGTTATTGGCTAATGTATCGTTGAACAAGATTGGTTCTTGTTGTACGATTCCAATATGGTTTCGAAGCCAATTGATGTTGAAATCACGCACATTCACGCCATCTAACGTTACTGTACCAGCTTCAGCTTCATAGAGACGTGTCAATAAACCAACAGATGTTGATTTACCACAACCAGAGTGTCCTACGAAAGCGACAGTCTCTCCTGGTTCGATGGTCAGAGAAAATCCGTTTAACACCTTTGCTTCTTTACGTGTGGGGTAACGGAAATGTACGTTTTCAAAAACAACACGGCCAGTGACACGATCAGGCTGACGTCCACGATCGGCATACGCATCAATCTTGGGTACTCGATCAATGATCTGGTAGATAGTTGCAGCTGATACACGAGCATTGAGGAGAACCATCAAATGCGGTGAAATAAGTCCCAAAAAGTAAGCTCCGAGAAGCATAGACATAACAACAGTGAAGATGTCTCCTGGGTTCTCTACATAACCTTCGCGTAGCAAATGACCACCCAAACTGAAACAAATTTTTTATAAGAAATGCAATTTGATACTTTAAACATACAGCATTCCAGCTCCCAAGAAAGAGAAGAGGAAAAAGAAGAACAGGCCTCCTAGTAATCCACTCCAGAAACCTTTCCAAATAGCAAAGGCTTTTCCGTTCGCTAATTGTTCTCGATATCTAAACTCGTATATATACGAATGTCTAATGCAACACCTCTTACCTTCCAACCATTTCCTGTTGACCATTAAAAGCTTGGACGGTACGAACACCCATCAATGATTCTTCAGCGATTGAACCAGCTTTACCAACACCAGTTAGTTCAGCTATGGTCGTTGAAGTCATTTTCTAAGAAGATCAAGTATTCAAAGACAGTTATACTCGTGTATCTTACTCTGGCCATAATAGACATACAAATACATGTTGTAGGAGCAACACCCAACATGAAGAAGGCTAACCTCCATTCATAGATGAAAGAAACTACAACAGAAGCTATGAACATAGCACCTCCTCTGATGAGAAGACCCAACTTGTCACCGATACCCTCGCGGATGCGATCCATGTTGCTAAAGATAGAATGTACAGTCAATCCATGAATCGAGAACACTTACTCGTTCAGCCTGGTTGTTAAAGTACCTGAATGGTTTTTATCAAACCATCCAGCATTCTGCCTAAGGACTGCTCTAACATACTCATGACGAATTTTCGAGATAACCCGAATACAAACCCGATGAAAGCATAAATACTAGAAAGCCACTGTTTATCTAATATAACTTTAAGTCATTACCTGTATAAAGTTAGTGAAGAGCACGAAGATTCCAATTCCTAAGAATATATAAACACTCTCGTAAGCTTTCTTGCGGAACTCTCTGGACGTGGGTTCATACACAAGGAGAGCGTTTGTGATACGTCCACTGTAATGAGAGTTTATGTTTCAGAGCCTTCAGATGATATATGAGGTACCTGACAAGAGCTAATACTGGCTGAGAGACACCACTAATTATGGCACAAATGACACCAATGAATAGTAACCAGTAATCATATTGAGTACCGTAACGGAACTGCAAACATGAGGTTAAAACATAAAATCTTTTTAAACTTTGATCGGTTCAGAGAAGAATATGCTCAAAGAGTTTGTTTGCTTAGGAAGCTTCAAAACACATGTTGGCACAAAATCTGCTCAAATTTCACTCAAAAAGTTACTGTTGCCGTGAGCTTGTTCACTCATTTAAAAATCACTTTTCTATTTGCTCAGCACCGAACCGTACATGGCAGTTCACGCCGCCGTCGGCAGGTCGAACACAAAAGACTTTATGTTCTATTTGAACTGCGCAAGCTATTTTTAATTCTAATTTTCGAACTTTTTTCTTAATTTTAGCAACTTACAAGTCCGGCTAATGAAACAGGTTTACAAGACAATTTCTGATCAGCAAGATCTCCTCTGAAAGCATATATCCATTAGAGAGCGTCAAAAAACTCTTTCATTACCTGCATAACAAATAATTGATAGCTTTCTCGAACCCAGAAGGGGTGTATTCGTATTGTTCATCGTCATCGTCGTCCACTCCTGGGGACTCATTCGGATTCGCATATGCGGGCACGGCTAGCACCTTAAATGCAGAAACATCTTAGATATGGAAGGCATGTGAGATCAATCAACTAACCGTACTCTTCTGCGAACTTCGTACGGGCGAGTTCAGCCCCCGTTCTAGGGGATGTTCCTTCGGAGCCATCACCTACTTCCGAGGAGACATAAACTGAATATGACTTTTATTAGGGAAACGTTTCAAATGTATGAGACGAAATTCAAGTTAACAGGGGGAGATCACTAAGATCAGAAGATGAAGAGGGTACGTCTATTGAAAAAGGAAGAGCAGTCGACGGCTGCCAAGTTTTGGAAGTCTGCGTGAATTGGCAGGTTTATATATCGGGGAGTATGTAGTGTACATACAAATAGAATCTTCATAAAGAAGAATAAGAGAGAGACTAGAGAGTTTCTTGTAGTTCATGTTTGACTACACATTCAACCGAATCAGAAGCCAGTCTGCTCTTTTCCGTCAAAAAAATGATGATTTCTTGAATTTTTTATTGTTTCAACACACTCTTGCCCTTCTCTCTCTCTCTCGAGTTAGCTTATTCTCGTATTATCTCTCTCGCTCTCTCTCATTAGTCGCCTGTAGAACGAACGTAATCACTGTGCACGGCAAAACAAGTAAAAACCTCTTGAAGCGAAAAGAAAGAATGAGCAAAGCCATGTTGGGCCAGAGCACTTGATCCAAGAATAGAAAAATTTCGTAAAAATGCCTTTCAATAATCGTCATATCCCATTTCATCTGAATACCTAATACGGTTTTAAGGATGACCGAGATAAACAAGTTCCTTTTCCTCTCTCTCAAACAACTTACAACATATGTTGCAATATTTACTCGCAGCTTTTCAGTATTCAAGTTATAAGTGATCTTTAACATTTGTATTGTTTGTACAACCTTTCAAACACAACTATATTAGTTCACGGGCCAAATTAACCAAAAAAACCTGGATCGGAGTATTTGAATGGCAATTTGTTTCTCCCTTTTAACTATTTTTCATACTTTTTGTATTTTTCTCTTTGAGCATGTTCGTTGACAGTTCTTTGATTGCCCTTTTATGGTCATCGGTACTTAACTCTTGAGCTTCACGTCAACATTTCCTTCACGTCGAACCGGTATTGCAATAGAAGAAGAATACAAGCAAGACGACACTGTCTATAAATTAGACACACCGATGTATAGGATGGAAACTTTAAAATTTTTAAAACAAACACAGTAGGAATCCCCTTGTGTGTTTTCGATCACTTGGTTCATGTTGGCTCAACATAGAGAGCAGAAGAGCAGAAATGAGACAGGAAGTGACAAACATCATGTCGATGAGATTATCAAAATGATGACAAAACGTTTTTTCGAGTATCTTTCAAGTTCGACATCACCTTGTGCAGTGTTTGTTCGCGCGCGCAAAATTTGAATTTTACGTGAAATTCACGTCGGATTAATTTCGAATCTGTTTTGCTCGTCGGAACATTTGTTGATCTCAAACCATCACACGGACCGGTTGCATTTGATTCTTTCAGATTTTTTTTATAATAAATAATTAATACAGAATGTTTCAGAATACTTAATTAATGGCATCGCGCAGACCGTGGCTTCGTGTTCTTTGGCTTCTTCTCACCAATGCAATAGGCTGCCATCATTCTTTTGATCATTTGAAATGTTTATTTGTATTAAAATAAATGTTGTGTTCTCGTTTACAAACGAAAATGATGTAGAAGACAAAAAAAATTTTTTTTTTCTATCCAAAGGTTCCAAACTTTTTCTGATCTTTATCCTTCAAGGATTGTTTTTAGTTTAAACTTTTGTATTTCTTTGATACAATTATCGTTCTGGACAAGTTTCATTTGGAATAATGTTCGATTGGAAGAGCGATGATTCTCTTATATTTCGAGGTATCGTCCTTATACCCGTAAGTTTGCATCTCCACTGTCTCAATTTCATGCTCAATGACTACAGGTAACACTCTCTGGTGTTCTCATCAATGGATTATCCGCCTATATCATGTATACACACAAAGCTTTCTAGTTAATCTTATTCATGTTTAATGTTATGCATCTCTGTCTTTTAGCAATCCTTTTGGTCGAATCCAAGGCTTACAAGCTGCTTGTGACTCTTGCAGTAGTCTTCTTGTCTTATTATGGACTTTCATAAACATGATATAGTAGGCAAAACGTTTTGTATCTTCTCACCATCAAATTTACAGCCAGGATAAAGCTGTCAGATTTCGAATATTGAATGAGAAATTTGGTCAATATGCTTTGGGATTCTTCCAATGTTCCGTCACGGCAACTTTTCTACTTGCAAGTTCGAGGTAAGAGTTCATGGAATTAGTCCTTTAACAAATATCGTTTAAGGTTCATTGCAATAACGTTTCCGATGATATACCGTACTCGTCGCATGATGCACATTACACATTCATCTATTATGTTCGTAATTGGCCTAAATATTATATATACAATGTTATACTTCCTTCGTGAGTTGTTACTCTTTCTGTTGCTTTGCTTGCTTCACCATGATCAGTGAAAAACAGCCGGCTACCGCTGGTCTAACACAAGCTGCTTTCGGAATTTCTAAAAAAAACTGAGAAAATCATTCGTAGCCTCTTTAAAACTTTTTTTTTTGCAGCTGGTTGTTCGTTTGCGGCAGATGAAACTCTATTAGTATATTCCTTCGCGAAAACAGTTTGTGGAAACTTAATTAGTTTTTATATTGATTACGTGGCTAGTGTCTCGATTCATGGAGTAGCGGCTATCATTAACTTAGCCACTTACATCTCCCTCCGTTCTCTTAATAAGGTATGGCTAATGATCAAGCACATCAAAGACCAATATAAAACAGAAACCGGAGGACATGTCCGAGATGGAGAGCTTCATGAAAAAAAGGAAGAGAGAAATTAAATTCTACCTACAGGTTGAAACAGTTATGATGATTGAGTTGACCGTTCCCTCTCTTCAGACAGTCATTCATTTGTGCTTGATAGTCAGCCTGCAAACCATCTTCCACATAGTTGACTACTTGGAAATTGAAGGTTTCGCACTGTTTTTGGGAAGTACATTCATCTGGATGTTTGTCAACTTCCTACAGGGGTATGAGAAAATGAATTGATAACAACAAATCTATTGGTTAAGGTGTGTTGTGTTCTTCCTGAATCCCGAAATCATTGCTCGATCTCGAAGATTGCTTTTCCGAAAAGCAGTTGCTCCAATACCTTCGTCCACAATCCCTACTACGTGGGTGAAGTTTTGATGCGTAGTTTACTACCCACGACAATTCAAGAAACGTGCAGCACGTAAAACTCAATAGAACTTTATTCATTTTTTCGAATGTTTTTAATAAAATTTCATTTGAAAGTCATTGTCGATCAAATGAAGGCAATTCAATTGTCCACAACCATATATGGCATGTAATTTATGTGCTCCAGTCAAAACATAATTTATCAGAAAGTCCGATGTAAATATAATGTAAAGCGCTTGCATTTGTCTTATTTGGACTTACCTGCGGAGATTGAGAGGTATAATCAAATCGCAGATCGAAAGCGAGAAACGTTTTTGCTCATTTCTTTCTTTTAAAATTGCTTAGCTCTCCAACAAGATTTGTAGAATTGCAAAAGTTTTCTTTTCTTTTATTTATTTTAATTTTTGACTTCCTTTGATGTTTGCTGCTATCCTCTCTGACCGTTTACCTCGTTAACCGCGACTTGAAGCTTCTCGGGGAGAACTGAAAGAACGGATGAGACGATTTCATCATCATGTTAAAACGAAAAGACAAAGACATTACAGATGTTTTGAAAGGAAATGCTCAATATCACATATAATAGTCAGTTATGGTCGTTAGGAATACCACACGCCTTTGCTCTCATGCAGCACTTTCATTACTTCATTCTCCCGTTATCTACAGCCATCAATATCATAACTCTATATGCAGTCATCAAGAAGACCTCTCCTTTCGTTGGAGGTTTAAGGTATTACATTTTGATTCATCAGGTATGAGTATAGTCTATTCAAACGCATTGGTGTATCTTCTATCTCTAAGATCTGTAACACAGCAACAGATATTGTTATCAGTGGACTTATCCAAGTTGTTTTCATTTATCCTTATTGTGGCATGATCACTATTGGCTTTTTAAATTCTTTCATTCCCGTTCTATATCAATATGTGACACTTAACTATTCTAATCATGCTGATTACTCAGATTTTAGGCATGTTTCACAGCTTTACTCACGTCTAATGCTTGCAGCATAGTGAATGCAGCTTTCTATCGATATCAATCTCTTCTAGCATTAGGACATCCATTGAAGATCAAAAATGATAAAGTTCATAAAATATGCTTCTGCACTTTCGTCTTTTACTTCTTGCACGGGGCTCTCCATATAGTCATCAGAGGAGAATCCAATCCAGCAGTTATACATCAACGAGTTCTAACGGTACCGAAAACAGTTGTTGACTCCAAACTTTTCTCAGGCGTTTCCCTTTTTCAACCAAATCATCAACGAGAACTTTATATTCATCGATATCTGTTTTCCTTACAATACATTTTACGTTGTTGCTGCAATCTTCACCTTCGGTTAGACGAGCTCTCTTGCTTACACATACTCTCTCTGTTTCAGTCTCTCTTTCACCTTTCATTCCATTTTTCCTCATTGGTTGTCGACATGCTTTGTTACAAAATAAAAGTTTGTTCAGTACTAGAACAAGGCAAATGCAAGCTCGATTCACAGCTCATCTGACTATCCAGGTGACCAAGAGGAGCTCATTCAAAGAAGAGTTCAATATATTTCAGCTGATTGTACCCTTGTTCATGCTCGGAGTGCCTGCCACTTACATCCCATTCTCTATATTATTTCTTCCACACAATAATTATACATATAGTTAAGAGATACTTGAGACATCAACATAACTAAACATTCAGAGATTAATCTAATCATGACAATAACATTAGGATGTCATTCAACCGTTTCTTCCATTCTCACTCTGTTTTTATGGAAATCATACAGAATTTGGATACTTCACCCATTATCACGAATGAGACAAGCGTTTTCATCCAAAATGTCAGGGATCTATTTCATTCAAGTATAACATACTATCAAGCATCGAAGATTATGGCTCATGATTAATATCATCATATGTTAACAGTGAAACATTCAGATGAATATCATACCTCTTCCTCCAACCTTTCATTGTTTACTTTACGTTTTCTTTATTCACAAAAAAACCTGACCTTAACGTCCTTATTTGACAATGCGTGAAGTTCATTTCCGGTTTTTTTTTATTTGGCTCCGCAATGCTCATAGATAACAATTAAAAGTTGTTGAAATCGAATTGGAAAGAAAGAAATGGAAAATTCAATTATTTAGACGTTTTTATGACTTCGCGCGGAGTCACGTAATTTCCACGTAACGAAAGGGCATTTCGCTGAAGCTCACGTAATTTCCACGGAATTTCGCAATGCATACGTATGACTCTCATTTCAACGTTAGGGCGCAAACAGAACGGTTGATTCCAAAATGCAACATCGGTGCATTTGGAGAAATCTTTTTTCGAAAAAGCATATTCGTGACGTCAATGAGCGATATGATTGATATCAAACAGAAAAAATGATATTTTCATATGAAGAAGACGATGATGAGTCAAATGAAGGTAGGATCTTCAGGACAGATCAAGCTTTAAGCTGTTGCTCAAACAGAACGCACCTCATGTCCATATATATAACACTTCCAGAATCGTTTTCTGAATGAATGATGAAGTACTTAGTAAGAGGATGTCTTTTTTTAATGATATTCTTTCGATTATCAGGTATAACCATTGTTCTGCTTAGTCAAATCATCCGTTCTCGTTAGATTGTCTTCGTTGCTCCCAATGTTACAATTACAACGGTCAAGTGTGTGTGAATGCGCCTGATTGTACAGGCAACTATTGCCTTTTCGGTTAGTCCATGTTATGCTTTTATGAAAATCGTGATTCTTTCAGAAGAAACTACTTCGAATGGAATTACCACGGTGAAGAAGACTTGTCTCCAACAGGCTTACTATCAGCTGGATGACAATACGTATGTGACGGATACTGAAGCATGTCTTACGAGGTATTCCATCTCACACAATTCCTCTTTCTAACAAGTTTTCCTCTTTCCCTCCTTGTACAGACAGACCCCTTACCGAACTTACAAAATCAAAATTTGTAAATATGCTGACAACTGTAACAACCAATGTTCTGATGGGCCGATATACCCTCCTATGACAACACAAATACCATTCCCACCAGACAACACTTTCCCGCCAATTACTAATGGATTAGGTTGGACGTTTTCATTAGTTTTTCGAAATCTAAACGAAAACTATTTCCAGTCAACTGTTATAGTTGTACGGACAACACAGGACATGACTGCAAAACTGGAAATTGTCAGGGAAGATACTGTCTATACGGTATTCTAATCCTTTTAAATAATAAGGAATAAAAACATGAGCTGCTTAAGAACGTCGTCTTACCGGCAATCAAATTTTCACGTCAAAGTCATGTTTGGAAGAGCCCATCGTCAAATTGGATGATGGCACGGTTGTAAATGCCGTTGATGTCTGTGAGCTTCGGTTAGTGAACATGATAATGGGAGATGTTTCCATGTCTGTTTGCAGGAATACAGCAGAATCTTCCTATTACATCAAGATATGTCAAGACATCAACCATTGCAATGGCTATTGTATACCTGGAGAAGTTGATCCTCAAAAGTTTCGACGTGAGATTTCAATGCTCAGATCAAAAATCTTGATGCTCATTGTCATTTACAGAGCCATTATTAACTTGCCCAATGTGCGATGCAATGAATTCGAATGATTGCTACTCCGGCCAAACATGTCAAGGAAATTACTGTTTTTATGGTTTTTAACCATTTTTGTTCAAATTTCAAAATGATAAACATGCAGAACACCAAAGAAATCTATCGAGCGGGATCGAGTATGTACGTAAAGGATGCTCCATTGCAGCTTATATTGCTTATCCAGATTCTTCTACATCGAAAGCTGTTAATTCATGTGAATATCGGTTAGTCTAGAACAACACATACACACACCACATACTTCCTCGTTTCTCTCATTTTCTCTGAAAACATACTCTTTTTAGAACATTTGGCAATGTGGAATTTCAAGTGAAAGTTTGTAATTCGGGTGGTGGATGTAACACACCGTGCCAAGTACTTCGTCCATCAAGTATTTTGAAATAAACAAAAAGAAAAACAAAAACATATTTAAGATCCAACAGTAAGTTGTACTCAGTGTATAGCTTATAACACTAACGATTGTACTGGAACGACATGTGTCGGCACATACTGCATATCAGGTAGAAGAAGGACTCTGAAGAAGTATAAAGTTTTCAAATTTTAGAGAATCAGGCTATCTTGGGAACAGGCGAGTCGGTTGTCATAAAGAATTGCACCAACAGTCCAACTGTTACATATCCGGACAAAACTCTCTACTCCTCCAAAGGCATCTGTGAATACAAGTACTTACAACATAAAAAATCGAAATGAAAAGCATATTGTAGGCAAATCAATGGAAATAGCTATGCCGTCAAACTCTGTGATTCAAATAATTGCAATTATCAATCTTGTTCTTCGAACTATTACACCTCAACACACCAACCGTCAAAAACATCTTCGCACATCTTCATGATCTTACCTCTATTCATCACTTTATATTTGAGTTCACTCTGAGTATCTCTATCTCTTTCTTTCTCTGTGTGTATGTGTCTCTATTTGTATATCTATGCATTTGCCTTTTAAGTATTCTTACCAGAGTAGTATCATGTGCATAACCCGCCGCTCACTATGTCTTGTCAACTCTGAAATAAAATTTGCACGTGAATAAGACATAGTGTGTACTCTCCATGATAAGCTCTCTAAGATGATCATTGAATGAATGGATGATTCAGTCAATTCTTGTTTTATTAAAAATTGAAAAAAGGATGTAAAATCACGTGAATTGAATGAACTTCTGACTCAAAGTTCCCAAAAAAGGGTTAAAAGTAAATGGAAAATGAATGAAAGACTGGTTTTAATTGTTCAAAACTTAGAATATTCCCTTCTTACTTCGAAAACAACTTGTGTCTTTTGACAATCCTCGTTTTTCATGTAATAATAGCAGTTTATAGCCTTGACCCTTCTTCCTTAAAACACAATGACGTTCTTCATGGAAGAGCGTGTGTGTGTATGTGTGTGTTTGTCGAATTCAAGTTAAAACTTGCTAAATGATCGTTTAAAAGCTCTCGAAATCCACACTGATCTCAGTTTACAGATTCCTTTTTCAAATAAAAATGTCAAAATTCGTTTACTTGATCGTTATCGTTGCCTCTGCCGTCAGTGCTCAGTATGTGAGTTGTGTTAGATGCTCGAATTGCAATACGTCTCTTTGATCTTCAGTTTGAAAATGACTTCTTCTCAATTGATGCTCCCCCTAATGCTCGACAACAAAATCATCGAATAAACATTGAAAGTCTCTCGCAACAATACATTTTACTCGAAAAACGTGTTGCACAGCTGGAAAATAAAGTAAAAATGTTATTTGTTTGTTTATCATTTACAAATTATATTGAAGATTGTTCATTTGCAACATGCAACACACGGTGACTGGAATCAAACAGATAGCGGATCTATGTTCAAGCTCTTTGCTGAGAGAAAGGACTGGGAAGAAGCTGAGGTCTTTCCCCCATTCTCACTACAACCATCATCATCATCATTATCTCGTTTTCAGAATTACTGCCAAACGTTCGGAGGTCATTTGGCTACAATCGATAATGAAGTCAAGAATAAGTTTATAAATGGTAAGTTCCTCAACAAAGGACATCAACATAAAGCCTCTTTTGCCAGCTTTAATTAAAGAGAATCCAACATCTGATTATGTATGGATTGGCTTAAAGACCACCGCCACAGCCACCATTGATCGAGATTCCTTTTCGAATTTCGCGGCGGAAAGCCCTATCCATGGATGCGCAGGTGACACTTTCAAAAATCAATTATCAAACTAAACATACAATTGCAGTTATGGACTCCACAGGTGTATGGTCCATCAGATCGTGTGGTCAACTTCGTCCATTCATTTGTCAGATAATCGCAGCTCGCTAAGCTCTATGAGGGCTCATAATAATCTTACAATCACTTTGTTTATTCCTCTTGCAATTCCTTCTTTCTCAAATAAATTTTATTATCCTCGTCATCTTCCTTTCCTAGAACACAAAAAGAATATGAGACACCTAATTGAGGCAAAAATCTTTTTCTGCAATTTTGCAAATCAAACCGGTTTGCAATGTACAAAGAGATAGAGGGGGAGGAGAAAGAGGCAGCAACCAAGTTTATTTAATCGGTCACTGTCAGACCATTTTTCAAATTTTCGCGTCGACGACCTATTCACACTTACGCAGTAGCGAAGTTGCCACGTTTTGTCATCCTTTAGAGGTTTTGTCATCCAGATCTGCTTTTTACTTAAGCAGGCAAGGGAGTGTTCTTTGATATTTGTCATCATAATGCTATCAATGCGTAGTTTATGGTATCGATCTCGATGACATTTGAGTTGAGCCCTGATCACAATCTTATTATATAAAGGATGTATCCAGAGGAGAGAGGCCTGCTCAATAGAATCTTTCATTTGCTAAGAATCCCCCATTGTTGTGTCCTTGTTTGACTTTTAAAACTTATGAATGCGTACTTTTGTTTTGTTAGAAGAAAAAAAAAGATAATCTTTTATTTTTCAGTTAGAAAATGACAATTCGCGGATTTCCTCTTGTTGGACTTGGAACTTGGCAAAGCAGTCCAGGAGTAGTCGGATCTGCTGTTGAAAGCGCTCTGCTTAACGGTTATAAACATATTGATTGTGCTTGGATTTATGGGAATCAGAAGGAAATTGGAGCTGTTTTTGAAAAGTTGTTTGCTGGATCGATCAAAGTAGATATGATTTTGAAGATGAATAACTAACTCTGTTGTTGCAGCGTGAAGATATCTTCATAACCTCTAAGATCTGGAATACATTCCATTCATATGACAGTGCTGCTGTAAGTTTGGTATCAACTGATATGGTGTTGATATGATTATTTGTAGGGTCAAGTTGATACTATTTTGGAAGAATTGAAACTCGATTATATCGATCTCCTTTTGATCCATTGGCCTATGGGTTATCAAGAGGGTGGAGAAGTCTTTCCTCGTGTTGAAGGAGGTGACCAAGTTATTGCTTCCGATGTTGACTACCTCGATACATGGCGTGCACTAGAAGATGCTAAGGCAGCAGGAAAAGTAAATAAAAATCAAAAAAATATGAGAAAAATATTTTGTTTTAGGTTCGTAATATTGGCATTTCAAATTTCAATCATAAGCAAATTCTTCGAGTTATTGAAAACTCGAAGGAAAAGCCTCAAGTCTTGCAAGTTGAAATTCATCCATACTTGCAACAAAAGAAGCTTCGTCAATTCTGTAAAGAACACGGAATCGAAGTGACAGCTTACAGTTCATTGGGTAATCCTGGATCAGCCTTGTTCAGGAAGGAAGGTGACCCTAACATCCTTGTTGATCCAGTAGTTGAAAAAATTGCAAAAGCTCATAACAAGGTAGAACACATATGAATCGAAGATCATTGAGCTATTTCTGTATTCAGAGTACAGCCCAAGTAGCACTGCGTTGGGCCGTGCAACAAGGAATTCACGTCATTCCCAAGTCTGTCACTCCTGGTATGTCATTGTGTTATTATATATGATGAATTCTTATTCGGAATCCAAAATATACTTTTTTTATTCCAGAAAGAATCATCCAAAACAGCCAGTTGTTTGATTTCACCTTGACTGCTGATGAAATGGCCGAAATGGATAGCTTGGATAGAAACTTCCGTCTGGTTGACTTGTCTGTCTCATCTTCCACTCATGAACACTACTTCTTGAAAGAGGAGTTCTAAAAGAATACATATGTATCTATTTTGTTTTTTTTATTAGAATGAAAGATTATTCAGCATAGGATTCAAATGGCAAATAGTTCCAAATCCATTGTCTTGTTTTATAGTCTAATCGATCCATATATAAACCGTCTTGTTTAATTATCCTGTAATTAGAGAGTATTGAAATGTGAGAGACGCAGACAATAAATCATAGACACTCAATATGCTAATTCATAGTTGTCTTGACTGCAGACTTCTATATGCTAATTAGAGCCACGTTGGAATTTCGAAAAAAAGATTTCATTCTACATCTAGCAGATGCGCTGAACGGTTGCTTTCTCTCTCCTCTCTTTTTCTCTATTGTATTATTGTAAGATGGAGTGTTATAGTTTTTCTCTTAACAACTCCTGACTTACCATGTAACGTTCGTTCTACTCGGAGCTTCACGACCAAAGACATCAAATGAAGCATCAAAGCCGAATAATCCATGAACATCGCACCAAAAATGATTATTTCCTGTAATTTAAATAATAATAAAAAATGAATGTTTCACTTGTTCATTTCATTTCCTTTCAAATCTTATTTGGATAATGGGAGGTGGGAGTGAGTGAGGAAGACGCCTAACAGAAGAAGGGAAATAATCACCCAAAATGTTTTCCGCTTCTTACCTTTAAGTTTGCAAACAAAAAAAAAGAGATTTTGAATACATTTCTTTGTTTCATTCTATGGTTGTCCTTCTTCTTTGAGAAAAAAACACTCCGAACTCCTAGTCAATCTCTCTATCTCCTCCCCTCTTGTTCGTTCCTCCTTCTACTCCTCCCTCCCTCCTTCTCCCTCCCTCTCTATCTCTCTCTCTCTCTCCCTCTCTCTGTTTCCCTTTAACTTTTGTATAAAATTATTTATTTTTTAACATATAATTCTTGTGACATATGACATGTATTTCATATTTTTCTCATCAACTTTTCTGATGAGAAAAGCATTTAAATGGACAGCAGATGACAAGAGCTTGTCATTCTTGACAAGAAGCCGATCACTAATTTACGTCCGAATGGATTCATTTTTCTTAAAAACTTTGATTTGACAATCTGCTTCTCATTTTTTCATTCGAAATCCTCTCAAATGGCTAGTTGAAAGATCAAATTTTGAAATTATTTCATCTCAAATGGCTATTTTCGAAATCATTCCGTTTCATATGCAATCAGAGTAACCTCCTCTTACCCAATGGGAGTTACTTATCTTCTTTTGGATTATAATTTCACTACACCTTCATAAGAGGAAATTAGAAGCTTCATGAACAGGATATGGGATGAACAACCGTTTAGCAGTTAACATACTACACCCCAAAACTTCAACCCTCCCTTCTATTCAGCTCCCTTCAGCCCCATCAAACCACCTCTTCCACATCAAGCGACTTTCTCATATTTTCGTTCACGTGCGTGAGGAAACAAACTATTTTTTCTCAGCTATCCAAAGTTCCTTGTAAAACAATCACAGCAATTCATTCAAAACATTATTCTGATTGAAAAATTTGTTTCTGCTTTCATTCCACTCCCTTCTATGACCTGCAATGTCGTTTATCAGTGCCGCCTTGCCTACCCTGGCGTATGAAGCTTAGGCGAAGAAGCTTGTCTTCCCTCTCTTTCTCCCAACAAGTAAAAAACGAGCTGGTTATTAAAATTTTTTTCTCAAAATTTTCTTTTGAATTTTCAAGTCATTGAAGAGGAAATTTCTTCCGCTTCATAAGCGGTTTCTTTCCTTTTCCCTTCCTCATGAACCTCCTCTCTCTCTATCTCGCCCTCTCTCTTTCTTTTGCACATTTCCACTAGTTTTTTTATTCTTTCACGAATACAGATAGAGAGAGAGAGGGTTGAGAGAGAAAGATGATTGAGAGAGAGAGCAAGAAAGAGAGAGAGAGTAACAAAAAATAAAAATCCCCTAAGAGGGGAAGAATTCCTTTGCCAGATTACATATAATTCCCTCAACTAATTATCAAAGAAATCTTCTTTTGCGCCTTACAAACGCCCACCTCTATCAATGTCCAAAAAACGAAAACGAAATTGCGTGTTAGGTCCGAGGATACGATCACGTTGGTCGCTGAGCACAGACTGACATCTGATTCGCACATTCGCATCCGCCATATTCACAATTCCAACCTGCAAGACAGAAAGTTTCATTCAATTTCAACTTTTACAGCAAACTCGTTTTTAAAACAAATTTTCACTTGCACATACACATACATGCTTTAGCTCATTCGTTTAATGAGCTTCTCAGCCTTTTATGGATGACCTATCATTGGCCTCATAAACTCCTTCTGCTTCCTCATCTTCATCTCCTCATTTAACATTCCCACACAACTTCCTCTCCTACACTACAGCTTATGATGCGCGTTTTTTAATTCTTTTAAAATAATATTTTTGTTTTGTTTTTTTTAAAAAGCCATTTATGGAAGTGAGCTTCTGACATCGTTTACACTCCTTTGTTAAATCATCTGACCAATATGCCTCTAGATTATTTCTTAAAACACAATGAAAACATAATGCGACGACGAAGAAATTTGTTGTCTTCACTGAATGTCACCCTCTCCGATTCATTATCTTCTAAAGTCGTACAAGCCTGTTACGAACTCCCTCCTTTCCCTCTCTCTTCCCTCTCTCTCTTCCCCTCATATGTTTCATGGCTATTATCTGGGGAAATTATCGAGAACGAAAGAGAGAGACTTCTGATTCCAACTGGTTATTGGTTTGCTGGCTCAACTGATTGCTCATTGAGTTTTTCCATATCTTACAGACCGAGAGAGAAATACACAGATAGAGAGATAGAGAGAGGGAAAGGCTGAAATATAAAAAACCTATCTATTTTCGGCTAACTAAGGTCGCCAATTTTAAGATTTGGCAATAGAGCTCATGTGACGTCATGCAGCTGAAACTTGCATAAACTCAGATTTACGTCAGTAACAACTTAGAGCCATACAGAATAGAAAAAAAGGTTTTTCTTATTTGTCAGACTCTGTGTATGTGTATGTGTATGTATGTGTGTATGTGTGTGTGTATATGTGTGTCGTTGGCTTTTCCTCCCTTCTGAAAAGTTTTTGAGCTTTGAGTCAAAATTGGAGACAAAAATTAATTGGTTTCATCTAACACCCACATCCTCATATTGAAGAGCAGCCAATCTTCCATCCATTCTCTACCAAAAGATTGTTTCTTGGAATTTTTGAAACTAAAGTCTCGCATGTTTCAAACAGGCTGTGAAGCCGTAAAACGTTACCCCATCTGCCTCATCAGTTTCATTTAAATGTGTTTTATCTCCTTTTGTCACCAAAATATTCTTCGAGCACAGATTGCTGCTTCCAATCTTGCATGCTCTTTCTTTGATCTCCTCCTAATCCCCCCCCCCCACTAACTTCTATGCACCTATCTCTCTTGTTCTCAACCTCTCTATTACCTTTCACAACAAAAAAAAATTTTTGTAAGTGCTACTAGTAGCATTGGTTGAGAACAGATTATAAAAAAATATATTTTGTCTCTCATTCTCTCTCTCTCTCTCTCTCTCTCTTTGTCTCCCGCTCATATGGACACTGCTATAGACTGAAGGAGAATTTTACTTTTTGTTCTTTTCTTTTCCTCTTCTTCGCAATCTCATTGAAATGGAATTCATAGGGTGAATATCTTAGAGCTAAATCTCTGATTAATTATATATAACCTCAAGAAAAATCTTTATGATTTGGCCTGCGAATTCGGATGAAGGTTGAGAGTAGTAGATAACGCCTAGTAGTCAGCATTCATCTGACTTCGACTTGTCACCTTTCCGTTACATTTTTTATCACAATCCTCATCAACACTATTTTCCTTCTCTCTCTCTCTGAATATATACATATCTCACTCTCTCTTTAACACTCATACATTCTTTCGTTTCCTTTTAAGCTCATTATGAACGTTTCTTCATCAACGCTCCTTCTCAACTTCAAGTTCGTCTTAGGAAAAAAGAAAAAGTCTGTCAATTTCCTTCTTTGTCCTTCTACTTTCATTCAACTTGAGCTTGAATTGTTTAGAAAAATCTGTTCTTCCCAGAGCATTTACATAACTGACGTCATTTTAAGATTCTTATATGAATCTTTCAAGCTCTCAACCATTTAATCACATGATTCCATCGAGTTCCAAATGAGTTTCTACTTGATAAACAAAGATTTCGGTTGATAATCAGTTCATTCTGAGGGTGTGCGAGCACTCGCCATCCATTCATCTCCCTTTCTCTCCCTCTCTCCCTCTGTTTAACTCTCGAAAGTGACATCATTGTGGATAATGTCGTCAATTTGGATAATTTTCAATAAAAACTTTCTCTGATTTGTTTGAAACTTAGTTTGCAAACAAAACTATCGTTTTAAGCAATTTTGATGAACTAACCTCAGCTGGACGTCGATGTTTCCGTCCAAAACCAATTAGAAACATCGTGCATAGGATGATAATAGCTAGTTTCATTCTTTTCTATTCGCCTGGAAAAAATAAAATAATAACTTGAACTTTCTCCTTTGCAAACTTCTTAAAGCTTTTAAAAAACATTAATTTGCATATTCAGACGTTGACTACGAATTACTATATTAGGAGTCTTTCCCTCTCTCCCTCTCTTGACCTCTCCCACTCTCTCTCTCTCTCTCTTTTCTTATCTTTTTCATTTACTTTCTGTTTTAAGAATGAAATGTTTGATATTATCAAAAAATTAGTTAATACGTCATTTCACGTAAGTCACGTCATTTGGACACGTCACGTACCCGTCACGTACACATCACGTGAACTTTTTTCTTCATTCATTTCACCTATGTGTTCTCTCACAGAACGGTTGTACTCACAAGAAACTCATCTCGTCATGTTTTGAAAAAAATTTCTGACGAGGCAAAAGAATTTCCGGAGATAGGTCAACCACCAAATAAATGACAGAAAGCTTTTTTGAAGTAATACGGACAGAAGGAGAGAAAGAGAGAGAGAGAGAGAAGTCAATCAGAGGTGAAGTGAGATGAAGTGAATAGATTTAAGCTTTATCTCTGATGATCTTATTTTTTTAATTATTTCTATTCTTTAAAAACAAAATAGTAGTTTTGAAACAAAAAGAGCTGGCGAAGACGGAAATTCAAACAACTAGGGGAAGTTTTCGTTTTATTCCAACCAGCTCAATCATATTTCTCATAAATTGTGTTAAGGATAAGCAATGGTGTCAGAATTCGTCTTACACACACACACACACATCTTCTTCTTCTTGTTCTTCTTTTAAATATTCAAGATATGAGCTTTCATCTAAACTTAACCATCTGGTGGTGTCTATCTCTACTTGTATGTGTGTATGTGTGTGTGTGAGTGGATGTTTTAGCTTTCGCCCCAGATGTAAACTTCCGACTTCCTTCTGAAGTCATTGAAATATTACAGAAAATTCTGAAATGATCGTTGTATTCGGCATGTCTTTCTATCCGATTCTCTTTCTCCCTCTCTCATATCATATGAACTGATTGCTCGTCTTCGAGCTGACTTGTTAAGGAGGAACGAACTTCTTCCTCATTTCCCTCTTATTTTCTTCTTTTTTTTGTCTTCTTATTGATTTGTGGTTAGGGAAGAGATGATAGAGCCATCTTCAACGACCACCCATAGGATTATGGGTGAAGTTGTAGAGATGAAGTAAGTAGGGGAGCAGGCAATAAAAGGAGATGAAGCTTGTTGTCTCCATATATGTCACCTGTTGTCATGTCTGTCATGTTGAACGGAAAGAACTAAGAATTCAGACGACATTGGTCTTCTTTCAATATTTTTCTTAACAATTGTTGTGACTTTTGAACATCAATTTGATTTTATCGTCTGTTGTTCATCGAAAGAATTGGATTTGAACTAGCATGAGCTTTAGTGTTTTGAATATTTTCCTTTTATAGCCATATAACTATCAGTTGTCTTGAACATTCTTAGAAAACGAGAGAGTAAGAGCCAACAAGAGATGATAGGTGTTGGAATGCGATTGAAGCTCGTAAGGGTGCCAATTACGAGCATATTCGTGACGTTAGTCATCATCTCTCTTCCTTCTGTTTTCTCATATTGTCATCGTTGTCTAACTCAATAGCAATCGTAATGCTTTAAATGATATTCAGATAAATGGGCTGTTTCGCTGTATTCATTTTATCTCTCTTGGCCACGTTACTGTTCGCAACTGCGCAATTGGAGGCCAATTTTCAACTTCAAGCTGTAAGTTTCAGGCTTAAGCTTTGTGTGTGATGATGGAACGTGAGGAGAGTGTGAAGCTTGAGTCAACTAGTAACCGAACACACGGAGAAGCTAAAGATGAAACAAAAAAAAAGAAAATTGTTTTTCATTAATTCTCCGAAACAAATTAGAAGGTCATTAAGGTCATCCTATTAATCCAAGTATACTATTATTCGGAAGGAGAAAAAGAAATTGCCTGAGGCAAGAAAATACTTTTCTTAAAGCCCAATGATGTCATTCATCTATTTTTGGCAAGCTTTCTCATCTTTTTTTTTCTCCTTCTTTTTTATCTTTTCTCTTAGATTTCGGCATGTTCATTGGGCTCTCGGAATAACAAAAAATTATTTTTCGTGTTTCTAATTGAGAATTGACCAAGACGAGGCTCGTATCTATCTAATGCTTGAATACATTCAGGGAAAACCATGTGAATCTGCCTATCATTGTTGGAGGACAGAGCCGATTGACGCTAATGGCCAGCCAATATCACTTCGTAAGTTATCCTGAGTGCAACCGTTCTCCATCTGACGTAGACTATCAAATGAGATTGCATAACTTCCACGTAGCTAAACTCATTTGCATACTACACAACACACATATACACACGTACTTGAGAGTTTAAAATAATATATTTCAGTTTCATCACGTGGAAAACGCTTAGAAATTGGTTCGAATAGCAAATCGCGTGGAGGTATGAATCTCATTATCCCTCCCCCGTTATAATCAAATATTCTTAGGACGTTGTCGATGTATTGAAGGTGTCTGTCAACTATACCATTTGGCTACGGAATCGTTCTTTGCCTGTGAAGAATTCTGATCTCATAGTTGTCTTCTTTTCATTTTTCTTGTCTCCTTCCTTTCTTCCACACACACACACACACACACACACACATATACACACGCACACACACACACACACACACACACACACACACATACACTCATTCGGGGCTGCTGCCCCATCTTGTTCCTTTTCCTCCTCCAGCTTCTCATTATTCTCTTCTTCTCACCCAATCACAAGTCTACTCTAAGGTTGTGTTTCATTACTGTCATGTGCTATCTCACCCATTGCACCACCTTCATTGCATTGATGTATTTCTCTTTAAACAAAACAAAAAAGTCAATTATAGAAGAATAACATGTGAAGAAATTAAAAAAAATAAAATTCAAAACGAAAACGACGCTGTGTTTACATGGGTTGTCATATTTCAATTGCTGAGATCAATCGTGAGATAAAATGTTAATTTACTCGGAAGTTATGTATTTCATATATGAAGCAAATGGATAAACGACACAGTTTATTCTAATACATTATTATTCTACATCAGCAAGATTGAGAAACATACGACGAGCTCTTAATTGCGATTGTGACGGCGTCAACGCGAACTCTGAATGCAAAGTACTGATGATGTGGAGTTGGGTGTAGTAGCTTACCTCCAATCTCATCCGGTCGATTAATTTGTGATTCAACGAAACTTCTAACAATTCTAAACATTCTCCATATTGAATAATCAGGACGAATAACTGCCATATGACTACGAAGGCTGTAGGAACAATAAGACCGTACACAGATGATACATAACAGTGATTACCTTGGAGCCCCTTCCGGTCTTAAAACGACAATGTTCTCCTCAGCAGCATATACAGATGCAACCAGAAACACCAATATCAATACAAAATTCATCTGAAAAGCACTTGAACGAAATTGTTACTTCGAACTGAAAAATATTTTCGGCGAACACGACGGCGTCTGCAACAATTGAACGCAAAAATCTGGCAACAAATCGTTTGAACTTTTATATAATTAATTGAATTGAAGTAAGGATAGAAGAGGAAAGAGGTTAAAGGAGAGGAAAAAATGAAAAAATTCGTTTTCCTAGCCAACTCTCACGATAATCTATGATCAGGCAGAGAGCTCTCAGCTTGACCGTTTCACTTGTTTTAACAAAAAAAGCGAAGTAACTCTCTTCTTCCCTCCCTCTTATACTCTTTCTCTCTCTCTGTAAATGTTCTCTCTGTAGAAATCTTTGTTCTATCCTTATTTACAAATGAATCATATTCTTCAAATTTTTCTCTCTCTCTCTCTATCTGCTTCTCTCCATCTATCTCCCTCTTACTAGAAGACGTCAGGAAGCTTCCTCTTCACTCCTAATTTGGCAGAATAATTAGTAAAATTAAGCAAATATAAAGGATTTTTATATTTAGTCACCTATGAATGGGTGATATTTGTGAAAATGCTAAGAAATTTTTAATTTTCTTTGCTAATAGAGAGGAGAAGCCATTTCTCGTCAAGATGACATACGTACGTCCATGTGCGAACAAGGAATTGTCAGATTCATATAGTGAGCACACAACGACACGAATACGTTCTCTTGTCAACGCTTAGTGCGGAGTATAAGGCTGAAGCTTTTTGTATAATTTTCGAAAATAAAAATTATTTTTCCTTTCGTTCATTCCAAATTACAGCGTCAAAATGGAAATTTTTGTATTCAGTAGCTCTTCTTTGTCTTACATCACTCTTTCACAATCTGCCTCTGTCTCCCTCACTGATTGTCTTAAGCTTCATCCAAATCAACCCTCTCAAGACTTACCTCACAACATGCGTTTCTGCAATATCTCTTTCTCTCACTCCCTTTCTTCTTTCATACCAGTTTATCCAAAAATGAAACAAACAAAGGAGAAGAAGAGCTGGCATGTCTGCGAGAGTTTCTTCAACTAAGGATTTGGATTAAAATACTTTTTCCTATCATTCGATGCAAAAGCTTTTTTAATCTGCACCTTTTTGGAGCAAATAACAAACTGATAAGTGGGCGGAGAACACAGAGGAACAGTAGAAGAATCAAGATTTCAACTGATAGAAGAGACAAACTCTGGCAACGAGGAGGAATAAGTGGCGGGAGGGGGAGAAGCGGAAGATATTTTTTGTTGAAGAAAAAAGATTTGTACGTCACAAATGAAAGAAGAAGTCATACTTTTAGAAAAAAAAAAATTTTTTGTCTGTTAACTGTGGAGAGGCAGGGTAAAGGAGAGATGGGGCAAGATTGAGCGGAGGGAGAAGCAGTGAAGAGACAACAAGAGATGAGATATTCATGTATTTGGTAACATGTATGAGAGCTTAGAAGCTTAAACTTCTAATTTGGAGAAAAAGTTGTTATGTGAAAGTGAGATGTACTTTATAAGAAGTTATAAACAATTTCTAAATATTAGGTTGATTCAATAGAAGTAATGAGATATGGTGAGGGGGGTGGGGAGGAGGAGGTGAGAGAATCATGGACCGCAACCGTTCTGCGTGTAAGCTTGTTGCAAAATGATTTTCACGTGTAATTTTCTCACGTCGACCCAATTAGCATAGTATTAGTGACATTGTGTGCAATTCATTTTTCTCTTTATTTATTTCGAAATTTCAAACTATTTTGAAAGAAATTCAATTAGTCGTTGAACTTGATGAAATTTAAATTTTCATGGAAAGCTGTTTTAAAGGAAGGATTGTTTATGCTAATAAGGTATCATATCTTGTTCTAAATAGTTTTTCAGCTTAATCTCTACGTTGACTTTATCAATATCTTCTTCTTATCGGAATTGATAACCAGCTGCTTATGCAAGTGGAGTGATGATCATTTCGTGAACGTAGATGAGAAACAGCTCTTGTTGAACTTCAATGATCTGATTTTAGTCAACTACAAGGCATGTCGAGTTCTCACTAGGGTCAAGACAGGTGTTGCTAAGCATAGAAAAAGCCGACAGAAAATTGGGAAAATGAAAAAAAAAGAAAGGGAAAGGAAGAAGCTGCAAACGAGGGAATATGAAAGAACATTGGATATCAAGAGAGGATGAGTGAGAGTGGAAGCCAGGAAAGAAATGAAACGATGAGAAGATGACCAGAAAGTGATAGGAAAGATATGAAAGATACTCAGAGATAAGTTGTGGCTTAGAGGTCAGAAGCAGACGGAAGCTCAAATCCTGGACCCATCTTGTCCAGTCGTGTCGGAAAATAGCTTCTGCACTCTGATTGGCCTACGCAAAGCTCAGCCTTTTGCTTTAGCTCATCAGCTTCTTCAAATTAGGCAAGTATTCGAAATAGGATCTTCTCATTGTTTTTATTCTAATTTCTTGTTTCATTTTGTTTTTTGATGTAATTCAGTTCAAATAAGATATGAGAGTGAGGGAGGAACAAGAGAAAGAGAGAGAGAGAGTGAGTGAGAGAGTGAAGTGTAGAGAGAAAGGAGAGAAAGAGAGATTTACGTGGTTGAGTCAGATGAATGTCCTGAAGATTAATTGTTTCCATTCTTGATATTTCACAAGAAGATAAAAGGAATCTTATAAAGCCTTTACTAACTATTCCTCTAATCTCCTTCAGTTAACCGTTCTCTCTCTCTATCTCTTATACATGTCTCAGCTGAAACTTCATTTCCTGTCTTTGTGCTCATACCTTGGCAATCTCCCAAATCTGTTGTTCAGACTATCCGACATGCTACTTCAAGGCTTCTACTCCGTTCTCTTCTTGGGTTTTTTCACTGCAACTTCAGTAAGTTTTCATTCACTTTCCTTTGTTCTCATCAGTTTGCTAACTGAAAAGCAACGTGAATACTCGCATTATAACTTTCTTTGGACGTTTTCATATGTTATGGCTTTGTGATTGTGTTTTTCGTCATTTGAAGCAGCCAAAACTGGAGTGTTGCAGAGCACACAATATCCGGGTCACTATTCTCCTTCTTCTTCTTCATCATCATCACAACCTCAACCTGATCGTTATCATGAGTTGTATCGTCAACGTAGCAGTTCCAGTTCACAACATGCGCCTGTTAAAGCTTATCAAACAGCTTATCCCCAGAGTACTTCTCATTCCCATCAGTCGTCTCATAACCACATAAGCTCAAATGCTCATTATTACCATCAACAACAACAACAACAACAACAGCAACAACAGCAACAACAGCAACAACAACAGCAACAGCATCCCCATTACCAACAGAACTTGCCCCAGCAAAAACAACCATCCAATCCACCACGTACTCCACACGTCCCAGCTCCTCTAGCTCCTCAAACATCTCAGAGCTATCAACATAACTACCAACACCATCAGCAGCAATCACCGGTTGCCAAACCTAATCAGTACCAACTTCAGCAGCAGCAGATGTCACATAGCTCTCAATCGCATCATCAGCAGCTTTGTGACATTCCACCAGATCTTTGGTCAGTCCATCCGCATCACATGAAATCATAATACTAAAAAAACATTTTTTTAACAGGTGCGACAGTCCACAAGCTGCCCAACAATGCGGAGTGCAGCGTCAATGCGAACAGTTTAAGAATCGACGTCAACCACTCAAAATCTCTCTCATCTACGAAGCCCTCTGTCCATATTGTCAAAAGTAAGTGAACTCTCGCCTTTGCCATAACATCTCATGTCTACATGACTGAAATATGATAATTCTATTTATCAAAAAGGATTTTCAACATCCTTTCGGTCAGCTGTTACGAGATTAAAATACGTGAGCACTCAGCATTGAACTAAAAAGAAAGATTACACTCATCGTCCATCATTCTGATTTCACATTTTGCATCTTTGCTCATTCAATAAACCTTTCGCGTTTATGATTGAGAGTGACTATGCTTGTAAAAAACAATTTGCAATGTGGAAAGAAAGCTTTATGTTTCAGATTTATAGCAAACCAACTAGGAACTGTCTACAATCAGTTCAGAGGTCAATTCGAGTTGGAACTCATCCCATGGGGCAATTCACGCATTCTCAGAGTATATCGCCTTCACTCATTTTCAATGAATCTCCTTTCATTATATAGGATGGGTCTTTTTCATGTAATCACGGAAAGAAAGAATGTGATGCCAATCGTATCCAATCATGTGTTTTGGATATCTTGAAGGTGAACCATGAACCAATGAAACAATGCATACCATCCTTATCTGTTCAGGTGAAAGGAGCTTTACCTTTCATTGTATGTTTCGAACGCCTCATAACCCATAGTACCGTTGAATCAGGGTTGCAGCAGTGTTCAGCTTTCATTAGAGCCCAATATCGTCAAATAAGGTAAAATATAAGCTTAGTAGGTATTCAGTCCTCCTATAACAGACAATGCTACGATGGTGAGCATGGAATTCGTCTACAACGTATAGCAGCTCAAAAAACTTTGAACACTCGACCTCATGAGATCGTAGAAGTAAGTAATGACACGAACTATGCATCAAACCTCTTTTTCAGGTACCTTACCTCTTAATAAATGATTACACACCGTCAGTTGACAATAACAACTTGAATGTTATGCTATTACCTCAGTTACTCAACAAATGGACTAAGACACACCATAAAAAGTAAATGATTACTATTCCATTTGTAAATTCTGTTTCCTCCTCAATAAATTGTTTCACCGTCATCTGAAGACAGACAGATCATCTTTCAAGCTGTTGGCGCAGAGATCGGTTGTTCTTTAACTTCTCCAGTTTCTAGTTCAAAACAACAGAATATCATATATTATTATGGCACAGATCATTCCGAAAACAATCATTTTCGAGCTTTCTTATCGTGTTTGTTCGAAGCCTTGAGTACATCGACGAATCTCTCTGCTCTATAAGGTGGATCATAGAACTTCTGATAACTGAAACTAAGCATTTCCTTTTGTCCTACTCTCTCTCATACCTGTATCGGAACACAGCCAGTAAGATGAAGAAAGCTTCCAAACTAATTATAATCCAGAATGTTATAAGTAATCCTGTTTTCGACCGAATCTCTGTGAACGACGATGATTAGAGTACTTGCTGACTGAGTACCGTTTTCACAGAACATCCCATTGTATCCATAGTCACACAAACATTGAACCTTAAACAAAGACATTCATTAAGTACATGATTTGAGTTCATACTCGGGCTATTGGTGTGTGCTCATTCACAGTCTCACAGACACCATGTCCAGAGCATTTACTTTCAGGACAAAGATTAACTAAAGTACTATGGGTTTCAAAAGTCTGATATGTCTCATCTCACATAGATCTAAAGGTATTTTGGATTGGCAAAAACTAGCACTTCCTTCAATTGTGTCAGCTATGAAGTATTGGTGAGTTAAGTTCCTTTGTCTTCTGAACAACAAAATGAAACATTAAAACCTCGTGATGAAAAGATGAGATATGATAACCCCTTTGTAATTTGCTCCACAAAGTCTGAGTGACCGACATACTCTTTGCAGGCTGCATGAATGAGTAATACACTAGCACGGACAGTGTTGAAAGAGCCTATGAGCAATGCTTTCTTCTCCGCAGCCTTTGGACTTGCAGTCTCTTTCACAGCTGCTTTCTTAGGAGTTACACTTTCAGCAGGAAGTTTAGTGGTCTTGATAGATCTCCAAGCCTAAAAAGTTCTTCAATCTCACTGCTGGATGGCGTATGGTTACCTACACTAGTACTGAGTCTGATGTGAATGAGAAGAGTAAGAACAAGAAACAACCGCATGGTGTGACGTGATAATCATTAAATGACGGCATCAGGTGAGTTTTGCTTCATTAGCATATCATACTACGTTTACGAGTAATTAGCATAGAATCAATCGATAACTCAAGATTTATGAGAAACTGTCATTGTTTGTTAAGCTTTTACAATCTTCACAAAAAGTTTAGTTGATATATAGACAAAGAGGAATAAGTGTATAATAATAAGATCAATCACAAGGTTTAGAATAAAGGGAGTGCCGATAAAAGAGCAATAAGTGATGTCACAATGGGCAATATGGTTGCTCGAAGTTCATTCGATGAGTTACACATTGAAGCTGAAATTCATATTTGAAATGATGAACAAACAATAATAAAAAAAAGTGAGTAATCTGTTTGGAAACTTACTTTTGCAATAACAGACAGATCCTTTGAACTGCTCAATCACATCTCTCTTTGCTCTTGTTACTGTGGAGTTGATTCCTCCAAACTTCATGGAAATAACATTGAAGCTGGTATTGTCGAAGCAAACATTATCTCCCAGGAATGGAGCGATGATGGCAGCATCTCTCTCAACATAGTCATGACCTCAAAGAAGAATTTTTTGAAAAGTGTGACGAATACGATTACCTCCAAATTTTCCTTCCATTTTCTTGCAATAGTTTCCGACACTAACTTTCTGATCTTTCTGCTCCTTTGATCTAGTACATTTGCCTTTACCATCATACTTAGCACAGCTAACACACATAGTGGTTGCAACTGAGTTCGATAGTTTTGCAATTATACACTTAGGTTCACTCACGATTGCATTTGAGAAGAGTCATGGTATCTTTTCCAGTCGTAGATGTCAACAGATTATTGCAAGATGTTTCTCCAGTAGTATAACAGAATCTAGTAGCTGCCTGAAGAATCATTGTGAAACTGTAGTCCTGAAGTAAGCACTTACAACTTCTAAGTCTTCAGCAGCAGCATCAGCCGCAAGAGGAACATAATCACAGCTATCAGCAGCTGGAGCAGTTACTAAGCCCAAGTCAGAACCCATCAGATCGGCGTAGCACCCACGTATAACTTGTACAGTTCTCTCTTAAATTGTCAACTCATATAGTATATAATATACTATTTACCGGTAGTGAATATGATTTCGGCGCACGCACCGGTACATGCCTTAATAGTGGTTGATTCTTTTTTGGGTGAGATGCAACTGAAAATAGTTCAGTACTGAGTGTATATGAGCTACTGAGCCTACTCTGCATGGAACTGTATATCTTTTGGTGGGTCACTTCGTGGAATTCCGGAAAGATGCCAATTATTCTGCAGATAAGGTGTAGCACAATAGAAGCAATTTCCGGAGACGAATACTGGGCCGAAAATAGAAAGTGACACCACTAAGTGAAGTAGAAGAGTCATTTTTATTGAAAGTGACGCTGTACTGTCTTTATATAGTCTGTCTTTGATCGTACATCATAAAGCCTGTACTAATAAGACAAATAAGCAGATTCATCTTTATATGCCCATAAAGCATCCCACACAAGGTTCAAATATCAAACATATTGAGACTAGACTAAGTCTAGTCTATTGCCCAGAGAAGGAATGATTGAGAATAGGGACGTGAGTTATTTGAAACTGTTCTTCGCTTCTCTCAAATAATGCATAACTTCAATATAGTTCTGTGTTTTAGCCAAGGCTTGAATTTGAGCTGAATGTAATCTCATGAAAGGGTTGATGAGTTTCTCTTCTCCAATGGTTGATGGCACAGTGCATGTAGTGTTTTTCGCCCATTCCAATTTTTCTTCCACAGTCTTAAAGAACATGAACTAGGTTCTCTAATTTTGAATACCTTATTGGTGTTCTCGACGTGGTGGGCAAACTTTAAGTTGCTCGCAGTGTATTCATGACCAGGAAACACTTCCGTCACATCCGGTAGTGAAGCTAGTTTAACATTCAAGTTTTCATTCATTTCTGCGGCATTTCCTGAGAACGTTGAATTATTAGTAAACACCGGTCAGAAAGAACCTTCGAAGAACCGTCCACAGCCTGCTATGAATAGTGTATCTCCTGTTAGAACGACAGGTACGTCGTTTCCTTCTGTAGTTATGAAATAACAAATATGGCCGCGTGTATGACAAGGCGTTGACAGACAACGAATCTTCAATTCAATAATTGTGTTTCCCCTAATCTATATGTGTTAACCTTAAGTTCATCCCCGATTGTGATTTCTTCATTATGCTCGACCAAATGATTCAACTCGTCTATGCGATCATCGCCGCCTAGAAAATGTCCTGTTCCCAACGTAGCATGAATTGTCAACGTACCATATATAGGAGCTTCAGCTTGGTTCGACCATATTTCACGAAACTTTCTCATACCCCCAGCATGATCCCAATGATGATGAGTTACCAAACTCCCAACTATATTCAACTGCAAGCAAGCTCAATTAGCATACATACGAAAGTATACGTGAAAACATTGACGCAACCATCCTCACGTGAGCACGTCATTTATGATAAGATTATCGCTAGAGCCGGTTGTTCTCTTTTTCTCACCTGTAACTCCTGAGCTACTTTCTTGATTTTTTCAGGTTCAACAGGGTCGATTGCCAAAGCTTTGTTGCCACCATCTTTCCAAACAATATACATGTAGTTATCCGACAGAGCAGATACAGGTTGGACTTTTATCAACTTTTTTATCAAATTAGCCATTTCTGAAATCGAGAAGCTATTCAGCTACATGAAAAGGATAGTTATCAATTTTTGGTTATTTAATCATGATCAGCTGCATTAATTATTTTCCAAGCCTGCTCCAATGCGAAAACTACTGTAGCACCAAATGACACAGGTCTTCCGAAATTTTTCGAAAAGATTCACGTCAGTGTTAAAACTTCCGAATACTTGTGATTTTATAATTACCTATGTTCTTTCAATTCATGCTTTTGTTTTCAGTATAACACTCACTTGGCCCCGGCATATCAGCCACTATGACTAGCTCAAACTATTATTATGATTCTGAAAATGTAGATATTGTGAGTTCCCATTTCCTCTCCGTTTCTTTATGTGTTCTTTTAGAATAACATGTCTCCTTGTGAGCCATTATGGTATGAATCTCCTGAAACTCCTTACGATGACTTCAAATGTTCTAACTTTGATGACATCAAGAAGGATCCTGATACATATCCCTCCGAATCCTGGGCTCAATCACCATCTTTTGTGGAAGCTGGAAGCGCCTGTGTTCCCACTCCAAAATCGAATTTACCTCCAACCAAATCTCATCGCATGATGCCATATCAACGACCAACTGGTGGATTATCTCCCAAATCTTCTGCTAGCTCTAGCTGTAGCTCACGAGGACGTCCTTCGAAAGTTACAAGTAACTCGAAAATGGCAACTTACGCTAGGAATTATCGTGAAATCAAAAAATCGCAAATGGCGCAGTGTACTCAGCAGAATGAGGAACTCAAAGCTGAAAACTTCCGGTTGAGAATGGACAACCACGAACTGCAAAGCTCATTAACTAGATTGGAACAGGAGATTGGACACCTTCGTGAGGCTTTCAGCCGCACCTCTAGCATTGTTTCAGCCATTTCTTGCCTGAAAGGTTCTTCAGAGGCCAAGCCTTCAGCTCCATCTGATTTATTTAACGGATTCTGTTTGCATTTAATGGATGGAAGATTCTCGTTCGAAGTATGCCAGCACTGCAGTACTAATGCTCGCGAGAAGTTGAACCCAGAAGTGAAACCTAACTCGAATACCAATGAAGTGACTCCTTTGTTTAACGGCGATTTTGAAAGTATTTCAAAGTTTGTTTCATAGTTCTACTCAAACTTTGTTTTTCGTTATGTAGTTGTTTCCCTTTAGATTCCCCCAGATGTCCCCACCGCCATGAGTGACCATAATTGAAAGTGGACATATTGACTCTATGAGCCTGAGAATCTTTTCTGAAGAGGAGGCCTTGTATCTCCATAGCTTTTCCTGAGCATGAAGAACTGGCGGTTAGTAAAATTGGACTGAGTGCAGTCATCCTCCCTTTCTCTTTTCATATTATTTTTCAAACTTCTTATCTGTGGCACTAGTCACATGACTTCATAATTAAACGAAATAAGTCGAAGACACATATTTTGGGAATCTTCAGAGTTTATACGGCCTTACTTTGTTATTCACTTTGAATGTATCATTGTTTTAAATATATAAGAGTGAAATACGTTTGAATGCTTTCTTGTTTTTTACTTTCACGGATAATCCGTTGGATATTTTGTGTTATCTCTCTACTTACAGTTTTCTAACTCTTATTCAGACTGTTCTTGTGTGTTTGATATGGCAACGATTGAACATAAAGTTCATGTTTTCTGGGAAGAAGACCAATTAGTCCCTTCTTGTATGTTTCGCGATATGTACATAGTTCTCAGCTTCAGTTCCAGGTTCCTCTGCACCCTCCGATTCAAGAGGAGGACAGGATAGGGACAGAAGCAAGTCCATTAAAAAAACAAAGAGCTGGAACTCTAATTTGCTTGCCGTCCGAGAAAAGAGACGCTACAAAAGTTATTCAGGTGAGTTTTGGAGTACTTTCAGTTTGTAGTATTCGTACAATAGGTAAACGGAGAAAGTATGTTGTTGCCAAGTCCCGCTATCTTCAAACTTTGAAGTTCAGACAACTCAAAGCGAAGGCAAGTTGTTGCGACGGCTATGGTTGAACAAGAAGGTGTTTAAGATTAACGAACAAAATGAGCAGAAAAAGTTAGAGAAACTCCGTCGGAAAGAAGTGATAACATTGAGCAGTGTTCAAGACAGGGTATGTATCAATCTGTAGATCAACATGGGATACAGTTGTAGTTTGCATTCATCCTTGTCACTATTTTAGGTAAAAGAGTTAGAGCAGAGTGCCAGAGAGATGCGTCGTGAAGTTGATAAGCAAACCCAAGAGTTTATGATGTTTTTCGTCTCCTTGATTGGCTGAACTTCTAAAATTGATCTCTTTGCATGTTTGGCATGTTTAGTGATTTTGTACATGATTGTTTCCTTTTACTATGTTTGCAAGTATATAACTTTTAGACAAAGTTCGTCGGCCTTAGAGTCTATTGTTAACGTTTTCGGGATGATGAGGTCTTACATATTTAATAAAATATTGTTTTTAAAAGTGTTTGCTGAATAAACAACTGGTAGTTTTAAATGGTTTAATTATTGTTGTGGCGAGGCATGGTTCAGTTGGATAAGTAGCTTAATCGCCAAGTACTTCTTCCTGAAGTAGTTGCAGTCGTCTGTGGCTCTTCCGATTTTCCTAAACTGGTACATGTTTATTCGACCTTTGGAAACTACTTTGAGCCCGGGTCAGAGGAAGCGGTCACACATCGCTTTAACTTTTTAAGGAGGCAGTTAGTTCTTTTCGCCATCTACCACCACACTTTAGATTTCTAACGCTAAGAGATGGTTTACTGACTCTAGTAAGCAATCCAGTCAGCACCCAATGCGTTTTCTTTTTGTTATTACCCTATCTGATGAAGCAATCCGGTCTAAGATCACCTCGAGGTAGAGATAAAATACGTGTTGAAACATACCCCCAGCCAGACGCCAGCCTGGCCTTCGGCATTCGCTTAACACTATCCCCTGAACTTGAAGCGTCTTGACTGTTGTTTACAACCACGAACACGTTAAACTGTTTCATTTTTGCCATCAGATCTTTCACTCCTTTTTCATTTTATTTTCAAATTGAGAATAATTATTTTTCATCAAACTTATTAACAAACCACATTCAGTTTCTATTCGTCTCTCTGTAGTTTTGCGCAAATTGTACTTTGGGGATAAAATTCAAAATCAAATCCCACGTGAATGTTCATAACACGTATCGAGCCCTTTTCATTTTCAATTTTAGTTGTTCGTAGAGCGGTTGCATTCATTTTCTTCTTCTCTTTCATTTTTTACATCTACACGTTGCTCACAAACAAACTGTTGAGAATTGTAGTTTGTAAACTGCATGCTGTTGTTCTCTCTATTGCCTACTACGACTGTTAGGGTTAAGGTTTTTGTTTTAAAGTTCTCTTTTCATATTGATATGTTGATTTAAACAATAAAACAATGTATTTGAATTTTTCCGTTGTGGTAAGCTTCTTCTTCTTTGGCGGTCTACATGTTGTGACAACTTGAAAGAGACAACTGTATTTGGTGTGGCAGGTGTCTATGCCGTTGTATGGAATTTTTTAGTCGGTCTGCTATCCTCAGTCATAATCGTTTTCATCTAAGTTATCTCGCTCGCTGGCAAGTTAACAGTCCATAAGGAGGGGGAAGAATCATCTAGACTGATGCTTTTCGATAGAACAGGAAAATATGACAGCTTTCTCAAGTCATATCCAATTAATTTTTTTGCTAAAACGGGACAAAAAACATTTACAATTCTTCAGAAGATATTAATGAGGTGGCGGAGGGTAGGAGTGTTTGAAAACTTATTTTGTAGAATATCCTTGGGGAACCGAAGTGATTCTGCTGAAGCTTTACACGTGTTTCTCTTATCACCTTTCCTCTATGATCCAGTTCTTTTTTACACTCTCCCTTCTCTCCCTCTCTCCCTCTCTCCCCTCTCTCTCTCTTTCTTTCCTACAATCGACGTTGCAAGCTATTCACAAAAAGCTTTCTTGTTATCATAGGGTTGTAGTCTGTCGAAAGTATAAAATCCCCCTCCATTTTCAAATTGTAATTGAAAGAGTAAAAGCGGTACAAGAAAGTTCAGCTTGAGACAATATTTCTAACGACAATATATATCTCTTGATTATCAATCTCTTTCATTTTATTCCTTCTCTCGTTTCTCCTCGACGGAAGGCCTTCAAGGAAAACTAGCAGACGACAAGTTGCCAGACAGCCATCGTCAGTTTTCTGTGATTGCCAAAGACTATGTTTATGTTTCTCTCTCTCCCACCACCCCCAATGTAAATAACTTCATAACAAATTGTTTTGCACTATTGTCTTGCTTTTTGTTTTTGTTTGTTACTGTCCAAAACAATTTAGCTTAACAACCTATGCGTCTTATAGGTTTTCTTGAGTATCACCTTGTTCATTTATTTCTCTTTCAACAAGACGACACATGTAGAAAGAGTAAGATAGTACAAGAGAGAGAGAGAGTGTAAGAGAGAGAAAGATTGGGAGGAGAAAAAAAAGGAAATGAAGGTTTCTACCTTTTACTCTCTTAGTCAATTAGAACAGTTCAGTTTATTCAATCAGCCATCAGACCATCTATGGGACTACTTATAAGCAGAAGCTGATTATCTATATGTTATTAGTGTTCTCGTTGTTCTTTCTTTCATTTAATCTGATTCTTCTTATTAACAATTAAGTCATGAGATTTCTCTAAATTTAGATTGCACATTCGTCAAATTCACCGGGTCGCGTCATGTCCTCGACAGCGTTGAAGACGTCTCCACCGGCAAAAAGAGACATGAGTGTCGAGAAGATGTATCACAGTGAGTTTTCATTCTTCTCTCAAAGATCGTGCATGTCTGCATCTCTTAAAAGGCATGAAATGTCCTGAATTAGGTTTTTGATTACTCCTTGTGTGTGAATTGAAGGCCTGACTGAAACCCTTTCCGTTGTCGTAAACTTCTAAAAAAGTGGGTGAAGTTCTCGCCAGAACATGCCGTATTTGTCACCGAGGTGACAAAATGTCTCGAAGAGACAGAAATCGGCTAAGACATGCGGCATTGAAAACGAAAAGCACGATGACAGAAATCTAGAATAATCATAGATCAATGAAAGTGAAAGATCATCATTCATCTTCATGCAAGCTTGGAAGACAGATAACGATGATTAGAAACTTGCTTACAAAAACTTTACAGTGAGAACTGTTGTCTCTATTGGAGCATTACTACCTGGATTGGGATGCTATTTCTGCATTGCTTATACTTACGTATTCCAATTCGAAACTATCACCAACTTTACTCAACAGGATAGTTGCCCAGATGTTCACAGGTGTTAAATGAACTAAACAGTTCTTGTATGTGACATACCTATTTTCAGTCCCATACCACCCGTATCCTACAGCATTGGTGTTTGGAAACCTCAAAGATTCTATTGGATGACAGTTATGTTCATTCATATGCCCCTTCGGATATTCTTCATTATAGTTAGTTGTTCTTTAATCTTTTACAAATACACCAATTAATTGACGAACCTTCAAAACGAAGACATAGATCATCATATTGCCTTCATTTGTTGATTTTACAAAATATTTAAAATGTTTGCAGCTCTATAAACGAATGTTTACGGACTCTGCTCCCAAATCTCTTGCTTATCACTATGCCCGTTGGTGCTACATGAGAACACTTTGTATAGAAGCAATGGGACTTTCTCTTGTTTCAATCATCAACATCAATGATAACTTTGGTAAGTTGCATACTTCTAACATTGCATTAGTTGCCTTCATTAAGCTCTTCATGCATTGGGCTTCGGAACATGGATTTCTGCATTCAACGTCAACATGCTTTTCAATATAATACTTCATCATTTCGGAAAAGTTAGGCAGCAGTCTCGAGCTGTAAGCCCAATTCAAAAATATCAAACATTACACTTATCGTTTTCAGCATGAAATCACATGGAGACTGAAAGTGTTCATGTTTTGCACAGGTGCTATTGCATCTTGCTCAACTGCCTTTACCTATCCTCTATTCCTCAAACTCTGCTCTAGATTCGGTAAGCACTTAGTTTATCCTTTTAACTTTTCAAATCTACTTCATTCAGCGTACATTTCCTTCTCCATGGTCGAATTAATGATAATTGGATATAATTCAATTTTCTATTCATTGGCCTATTGGGACTTCCCAAATACACGAGTTACACTCGGTATACATACAGGACCACATCCAAAGAAAATCGGAACCGTTTCTGAAAATGTTGAGAAACTGCCCATCTGAATGCTATAACTAGTCAGACAAAAATCTCATGATAGCTTTATCCAACGAACAGCTACTACAGAAGCTGTGTTTTGGGTCACATCATCCCATAACGTAGTGTTTGTTGAAAAATCTGTGATATAATTCCAAATTACAATACAATTAGAAAAGAAAAGAAGGAGAACACTCTCTCCCACCATAGTTCTAACCATCATTTCAAATGGCTGAGCACCCTGTTTGTACAATACTTTGAAGTTTGATCTATAACTATTGAATAATTTATTTTATCGATAAATACATCCTCAACACTACAAATTCAAATCCTTTTCAGAATTTCGCATTAGAGCTATGAGCATACTGAAGGTTCAAGCTCGATAACATCTCTATGATTGAATTGTTCAGAAAACAGAGTACGTTGCACGGATCCAGTGGCTCATGATGAACGGTTTTAAAAAACATTTGATGAATAGAATGCAACCGCTCGGAACGGTTTGAGAAGAATGCAACCGTTCTAGACGGTTTGGGTGGAATGCAACCTTTCGGTGCGATTGAGATAGAAACCAGACTAGTCTAGATCCCATCTCTGGCTTGGGAGCTGATGAGCTTTTTCTCCTTCTCTGGAGGACCTCCAGAGAGAGAGGAGTGAAGCTCACCAACTCACACCGCCAACTGACGTGATTCGGCTGCTCCACGGCTTATATACCCCCGCGGAAACGCGTCACGTGAAAACAATTTTTACGTCAAAAAAAAATGACCCGGTCGTTCTCTTTCTGGAAAACGACATAACTTTGCTCAAAACTGATGAAATCGGTTGGTTTTTGGGTTGTTTCAGATCAGCATTTCATTTCAAACTTGAATATCATGTATATTCGTTGCTCTCAAGACGAAATGTTGTGGAAAAACCCTCAACTTACTTCAGAACCACGTGAAAAGCAAAATTCATGGCCAATTTGGTATATCGGGTGGCACTTTTTTGTGAATTTTCTCATATATCCCAAATGATCTATTATTGTTTTGTCTCTATTGCGAGTCTTCTGATTCCAATCGAAATGATAAGTAAAGATTGAAAACTTATTTATATTTATTCTTTCATAATTTCTGAGTTTTGTGTGATCCGGAGTCATCTGGACATGTTAACACTTAACACATTCAATTTTGGTCTGATGTGAAGGAATGAAGGAACGCCTGAGCAGACTCGGAACTTCTTGGAATAACTTCCGCCCAGTGTAGTTTGACTCTACTTCTCTTCCTCTTTTCCTATTGATTTTTCTGTCTTTCTCCTTTTTTTCAAACTGATTGGTTATCGATTAAGGGCTTGGGAATTATGTTTTATGTTGTTGTTGTATTTGAGATCATCCTCTTGGTGTTGTCTCTATCGCTAGACTGCCTACCAAAAGCTTTACCGGTTATTACTTTTCACCTATGAAGCTTTGATTTCTTTGTAACATTGTCTATGTTTATATTCTTTGTAATCAATATGTCAGGCTCTCTCTTGATCTCCTATGCCCTTCCCATTTCATAAAAAAACTTTTGTTTGCTTTTCCCTTCTCATTCGTCGTTCTTGTAGAAAACTCAACAATCACATAACTATCACACTGAACGAATATTTAGCAATAGAGCATCGATATTCCATGCAATTGGATTTGTAATCCAAACGGCTTTCTATTTCCCTAAAGAGAACAATCAAGTCATTTTTTAATGACGTGACGTTAATGCTGGTTTATATAAGCCGAGAAGCATCCGAATCACGTCAGTTGGCGGTGTTAGCCGGTGAGCTTTACTCCTCCCCCGGCCTTCTCCTAAAACGCACCGAAAGGTTGCATTCCACCCTTAACTATCCAGTAATCCTGCATCCTCAATAAAGCCAATCCTACGATAGATTTCCTCATAGATTAAAACTCTTTTTGTTCCATTTTTCACCAGCTGTTATCAACGAGCTTATCAGGCATTGACGAACATAAAATCCAAAAAATTTCATTGCAAACTTGCTTCGTCTATTATAGGTAGGTGGGATGTTTATCTTTCATTTGTTTCTCTTGAATCGTACAGTCTTTGCCTCTTAAATCTATGATCATGTTTCAGTAATTATCATGGTTCGACCACAAGTCTTTCTAGACATCAAGATCGACGATTGCCCACCAACACGCGTTACTATTGAGGTTTCACACCAATTCGGACACTTCCTTATCTCAATTGAATTGCAGCTCTTCAACGACACTGCACCAAAAGCAGCCGAGTTGTTCCGTATTCACTGCACCGGAGAAAAAGGAATTAACAAATTTGGAAGAGCTCTTCATTATAAGGGGTGTTCTATCAGTAGGATAATTAAAGGTTTATATCTCTGTGGAGGGCCCACAGTAAGCCAAAAAGAGATCGAGTACACATGTATGAACGGAGACGTTTGGGAGGATGAATTCCATCCAGAAAATTACATCAACGAGCAGTACATCGTCATCATGGTATATTTCGTGAGTAATGTGAATGAGCTTTACTAAAATTTTGAAGGGTCACGCTGCAAGCTTTGCCCACGACAAACTTGCGACCTCACCTAAGTTCGCCATTACCTTGACACCGCACAAACTTAGCTGTTATAATGACATTATCGTTGGAAAAGTAATTGACGGATTTGAAACCATGATTACTTTGAATGGAAAAGGGGATGGAGCAAAACCAAATATGGAACCTGGACAACGACACAACTATTCGGAAGGGCTAACAACTGCTGAAGTCATTATCGCGGACTGTGGAGAGCTGTAAGTTACCATTTTTAGAAGTTTCTTTGACTCTATCTATTGGTTGTGTTATTTTCACCCAGTTTTATCGAAGAATTGGAGGGGGAAGAGGAGAGAAAGATAAGAAATGATTCGTATTCATTCAGTCAAATTGTCTTCGCCGTTCGGGACTGATTATCAATGAGTGATTTCCTTATTTGAAATGAAGTTCGGAATAATAGACGGTAGGAAAGGAACTACTCTAGACATCGTTTCCACCTTTCCTTCATTCTTCATAAGATTGCTTGCTGTAGCTTACTTCTGTTACCTCTCTTACATCATCTTGTTTCAAATGAGACATTATTTTTCAGTGTCATTGATCACAAGCCCAAAGTGTTTTTAGACATTCAAGTTGGAGAGAATACACCCAAACGACTCGTCATAGAGG